AGTATAGGAGATTCGAGTGGTGCGTTGTTGAGGCATCACGCGTTGTAGTGTTAACGTTGACGCGTTGGTGGGGAGCGATCAGCTCGCTTGGGTGATCAGCTCGCTTATGAAACACGTTATAGATAGTAACATGGAAGATCCAAAAAAAATGAACAGAGGCTGCGTTGTACCGATTTGACACAGGTTTCCATGTCCCCTTTATACTTTGTGCATTCTATGCTCATATTTTCTTCGCTTTGAGGAGAGTTCAAGTTGCAATCAGAGGCGTTCTCCGGGGGCATAGGCAGTCGACGGTAAATAATTAAGCTTTTGAATGACGACGATTATATTAAGTACCGTTGTGGGGCCGACGGCAACGGCTAAATTAACATTGGCGGCTCCGCAGAGCCAATTCGCCTATCATCGCAACTTTATAGAGCCATGAACATCATGAAAGGAACTCTTGCTCGTAGCAGCGGATATCAATGCATCCGCTGTCCGAAGGGCAGATGCAGCAAGGCTATATATTATTGCAAGATTTGATGGACATCTCTTCATTCTTCATCATCAGCATCTTCTTTTTCTCTTTCCTTTTATCATCACATGACCAACATGAACATTCAACTGCCCAGTAATTGGGCCCATACGGCGCAGACATTTGCAGTTGCTTCCATAATTGTTGCGTTTGTTTCGCTGATCCCAAAGATTGAGCACCGATTGAGGCTTTCGAAGATACCGAAGTTGGTTGCTCTCACCGATGGCTTACCAGAACATACCTTCTTTGCACAATATGCTACGAAGTTATACCGTCAGGGCTACGAAAAGGTGAGTTTCCTATGGTAATGACGTAGCTAACAATTAACGAGCTGGCAGTTCAAAGACTCAATATATCGCGTTTTAATAACTGGCGAACTTGAGTGCATATTATTGCCTACTAAGTTTCTACCAGAGCTTAGAAAAAAGCCTGACGATGTTCTGGATATTATGAGCGGCGCACATAAAGTGAGTGTGCTCGCTGTTTTGTGAAAACATTGTATACTAAGATTCCCACAGCTTTTCGAGGTCAAATATACAAAACACAAGGCTCTTGACCTTAACATGATTCACTGCATAAAAGCTAACCTCACACCCGCACTAGGTGACTAAGAACAACATGCTGCTATCTATTCCGTTGCTTACTTCATCATAGGACGCTTGAATCACGACATTACTGAGGAAATTGACATTGCCTTTGAGAAAGAGTTACCGCCTTGCAAAGACTGGACCGATGTAAATGTTCACGACAAGATAGCCAATATTGTAGCTCAGGTATCTGGGCGTATGTTTGTAGGACCGGAAGTATGTCGAAAGCCAGAGTACATTGATCACGCGGTCAACTTCACCACCGACTTCAATGATGCGGTTTTTGCAGTCAAGTGCTGTAACCCCTGGCTTCGACCCTTTATGACATCGCGTCTTCCCGCAATGCAACGCTTCAACGACAGAATTCGACGAGCAACAGAGTTCTTTACGCCTATTATCCTCTCAAGAATGAAGCCCGAGAACAAGTCCGACGATATGATGCAGTGGATGTTGGACTATACTCTGAGCACTGGCAAAAGCAACACCATGTACGAACATGTAAAGCGTCAGTTGGATGTCACTTTTGCGGCTATTCATACAACCGCTACGACGGTAGTAAACTGCTTGTATACTCTCACCAGCATGCCCGAATACATCGCGCCACTCCAGGAGGAGATTCGCTCGGTGCGAGCCGCACATGGTGGAGAATTGAATGCCCAAGCTCTGCAACAACTCGTCAAGCTCGACTCTGTTTTAAAGGAAATCGGTCGCATGTACCCTGTGACCGTTAGTAAGTCTTCCAGGTTCACTATGACATATCACATACTAATGAATGTGTAGCGGCTTTCCAACGCATGGTCATGAAACCCTTCACCCTATCCAACGGCCAGCAAATTCCCGCAGGCACCATGATCGAAATCCCCCTGGAAGCGCTCAATTACGACTCAAACGTGCATACCAACGCCGACAAATTTGATGGTTTCAGATATTACAGGGAGCGTCAATCTGCCAAGGGAACCGAGGTAGCGCAGTCGCAATTTGTGTCTGCCAACGATCGGGACTTGTACTTTGGATACGGCAGACATGCTTGCCCGGGACGCTTTTTCGCCGCAAACGAGATCAAGATTATCATGGCACGGCTGCTCTTGGATTACGAGTTCAAGATGCCTGGCGATCAGACAAAGCGGTACGACCAGGTCAGCTATGCCAAGTTCCTCACGCCGGATGCATCGAAGACGTTGCTCATGAAGCGTACATCCTAGGTGGAGGACCTATGGGGTGTGTGGACAAGTAGTCTTGACAACTTCTGCTCCGTATTGATTACTGGTCTAAAATGCAGCAAGAGTACAAATCTCAGGAAACGTCTCACCTCGATGGACAAGACGCGGTGAACGCGCGCTAGCGTCGGCGCGAACGCTGAAGAAGCTCAAAGCCTCATGTAACAACCTTTTTCTTTTTAGACATGCGCACAATCTCCCATATATCATATGCGATAGATCATACGATTTGAAAATCCTCTTTTCATTCTCCATTGGATACTATAGCACCTTTGAAATCGCTCATAATGCCCGATACTCAATACCCAATGCCTAGTTTGATCTGCAACACCGCTCAAGAAGGATGAGAAATCTGTTCGATACTATGGCACGATACAAGAATTGAATGAAGAAGGTAGACTATCTACTCTGAAAAGAAAGTCCCAATACATATTCTGCAGTCTGATCACGTGATATTACATCACACTACTCGAACTTCAGAGCCTCCAAATCAATCTCTGCTTCTCTCTTCCTGTACCTCAAAGTACTCTTTGGGTTTACCATGTAGCTGATTCCAAAGGGAGTTAGCTCGACAGTTGTCCCAGGAGCCAGTTCCCAATCATATCTGAGAAGAAGAAAGCTCAGTGCAATCTTGGTCTCATTGGCAGCGAAGAAGCGACCAGGGCAGGCATGGATTCCGTGGCCGAATCCTAGGTGGTCCGGGCTCGTGCTTACAAAGTGTGCTTTGTTGGAAAACTCGGGCGTTTCTCGTAGGCGTAACCAACGGTATATATCGAACTTCTCTAGGTTTTCACTTTGGGGCAGGTTTTTTCCGTGGGTGTCGTCTACCATAACATACTGTCCCTTGCGGATAGTAATGTTTTCTTCCGCGATGTGTATATCTTTGGTTGCGACCCGGCGCATAGCCACTTCACATATATCGTCAGCGGGACGGGGTTTTTGGACAACAACTTACGCAAGGACTTACAATGCTCGTTAGGCAACAATCTTTGTGCTTCCTTCATTGCGCTGTCCAACAGCTTCATGTTGTACAGCGAGATTTTGCTCCATCCATCCTTTTTCAGAACACTGATTATTTCTTCCCGGAGGGGTTCAATTAGCTCAGGTTCTCTGGCCAAGAGCAACAAGATCTTTGACAAAAGGTCCGATGTGGTGTGGATAGCAGCAAATGATAGAGTAAGTTGTAGTGAAGCAGGATCATAGCTGATACCTTTACATTCCTGTTCACCCCATTCGATGGCATCGTTGAACTTTGGAACGGGCTTTCCTTCCCTGCGTGCTTGTTCTTTCAGTAGACGACGCTCCTCAATTACGGGCCGAATCAGCTCCTGAGAGCGATGCAGATGTCCACGAACAACTCTGCATTGTTTAGAGAAGAGGGGAATGAGGAATCGAAGACCAAAGGGTACCAGCGTCAAATTGAATGCCGCTTGGAACGTATCCACGGTATATGCCTTCGTGATCTTAAGCCAATCTTCGTTGCGACAAAGTTTCTCGCCTAGGAAAACGCGTGATGAAAGACGTGCGATAATGTCCAGCATAGAGTCCAAAACGAGGGTTTCTTGCCAATCTGCTCTGTATTAGACTATGTAGATCGTAGAACGAGTACCTAGACTCAAAGTCTTACCAGTGGGATTGCCTAAGGTGTGATCAATTGCGAAGATAGCTTCAGAAGCTAGGGGCTCGGTAACAGTATCTAGACAGATGCATCATAAGCCTCAATCCACATGAAATCTTTCCTTGATGTTAAACTTACTAAGTAGTTTCGTCAGTGGTTTTCTAGCAAGATTTTGCAACACTTGTCCCTGGTGATTTACAACTTTTACAGCTGTAAATCCTGAAACATGAGCGTGGAAGTCCTGGATAATTAGCATTTTTTGACCCATAAAGACAATTGGCAAAATCTACCTGCACGACCGCTTGCGCAAAGCTTAGACCTTCTTCATTCCGGATAGCGTTCACAAAGCGTGCTGGAAGAACAATAATTTCTCCGTTGTTGTTGATATATCGGTATGGCTTGTCAGAGAACCTCTTTCGGGCATCATCCACGATATTAATGCCGTTTGTCACAGCGTCCAACTGATTTATAGTTGTCGGAGCATACCATGCTGGAGGGTTGGCGTGAGGAAATTTGCTGTTTTTTCGACTTAAAATAAGTACTGCAATCACAGCGGCAAGCAATATCGAAGCGGCGACAGGATTGAGGACAAGTGGAGGCAGGCTGGTAGGAAAGACGACTGTTGGAGATTTCAAGGCCTCCATGTTGCCAAACAACCGGAAGCGTTTAGATGGATTTGAGTAAACCAGAGAGTGTGGTAGACGAAGTTTGATTGAAAAATGATGAATCCAAGCATGTGAGAACTGTGGTAGAATTTATATATTTTTGTATCGATCCGAACCGGATCGATGATGCATCCGACTCCTCTTCCAAGATCTTATCAGAACATGACGTTTTCTGCATATTACATTCTCTGTCGTCAGTTAGCTGAAGACTTGTTCCGGACGCCGAGATCCACTTTGGTCCAAGCCAGCTCTTCTCCTCAATCAACCCTGCACAATCGGTATCTTCAGACTAACGCGCGATCAGCAAAAAGCACTTGGAATATGATATCCCTCTCATTTGTTCTCTTTGATATACGCTGTTATCCAGCTCCTTGTTTGAGTTTGGTTTCGACTCAACAAAACTTAGAGTCCCCCTAAATGCATCAGTCGATTGATTCTTTCATCAATGCAGGTCATATATGATGAGTCTAGAAGGATATCAGAAGCCTCTTCGCTATGGTGCCTCTAGTATCGACCTCAACGTTTGATGTGCGCACTAGGTATACACTGTCGCCATACCCCAATAAGGATAGTAGCCAATGGGTGAGGCGTCGTTCTGCTTCCGGTTCACTATGCTTGAGAAAGCAGGAGACCGCTCGATGCAAGCGGCACGGTATCGTAATCTTCCGTAGCCGATGGCCAACCAAGTTCATATGCGACGACAGGAACAGGGTTAAACACTTAGTATGATCCACCCTTAGTTACTAAGGGGTCCACATTGTGCACTTAAATGAAAATGAACCATTATGAGTAACTCCTACTATACATGGTGCTAAATGAAGGCTTCGCATGTAGATACGACGCTGCACTACTTTGGATGGATCTGTCCTCGATCTATACTTAGCGGGTGCTGGTGTAGTAGTATCATACAAAGCCAAACAGTAGAGGGAATGGACAACCAGCTGTGTCGGAAATATTTTAGTTTTCCGTATGAACAAATATTATGATCATCTGCTACTAAAAAGTAGCTTAAGAAGTGGAAGAAAAGCCCCTGGTTTCCTATTACGGAAAGTCATGCGTGATCGCTGTCTGGCATTGATGCCCCCGTCTCCCCGTGCGCGCCACACATATTCCCCATGCGCACCGTGTTCTCCATATGTGCCGTATTTTCCGTATGTGCCGTATTCAGCGTATGCATTGTATGCATCATGTGCCCTATATCCACAGTATCTACTCGGAAGTGACGTATTCCGCTCCCGCTCCCGCTCCCGCCAAAATCTGGCTCGGAGAAGGATGAATGGTCCAAAGCACAGCAGCGTGTGCATATATGCCTACACTTGCCGTTCTTATGTAAATTTCAATATACTTCGTCCGATAAGAAGACCTTGCCACTAGAAGCTTAGTGTGGAACAGGCCATTGACCATTCCGTAGGTCAACTCAACCGAATCAAGCCGATAGACAGAACCGCACCTATACGTTCTGGCGAATGTATTGCGACTCTGTGTATAAGCCAAATTACTTGCAACGGCTATTCGACGTCTGATCCGAACAGGCTTTGTGCGTCTCGAGGAGGGTTTCTTGGCAGGTTTGTGTGAGAGAGCAGGATCGTCTACAGGAAGCAGGTTAGCCGACCGTGGGAACCTGTCGCATTGCCACTAGCCCATGTATGTTACGTATTGTGGTCAAAGGTAGGATAAACCCAAGATATTGCAATACAGATGTAATTGTTAGAGTGCATGAAATCGACAAGTATCAATCTTCATTGGGTATATCTAGTGGCAACCCACTACCTGGTGGACAAAGTTCCCAAGACTCTAGCATGGCTCCACCTACGCCTTTTTTTCTAGGTCTTTCATACTAACAGACAATGATTTAGAATGAGATTACGATAATCAGTGTAGAAAACAATTACTATAGTAATGCTATAGTGCTTCCACTTTGGTCGGTTTTGGTAGAGTGGTGGCATATGCCGAGTCCCAGCAGCAATTGTGTCCACCAGATGCCCGTTAACAGCTCATAGGCATGCAATATGAAGAGTCTTAGGGCCTGTTTGGTTGCGCGTTTTGCATTTGCGTTTTTGATATCTGTTGGGGTATAGAGCTTCGACAAGGGGAGGGTGGCTAGCGTTGCGGTTGGGCTTATCCAGGTCTGGATAGCTGGTGAAAAGCTGATTATGTGATGCGGTTGATCTACCAGAACCGCCATTAAGACTATCGGATTGAACAGTTACGTGACTGAAAATGTAGTTTTGAAATCTAGCTGGAGGTCGAGAGGTACGTCTGGAAATCGCATTTTTTTCCTTTCCTAAAAGAGGGAAAAACAAGAGTGGAGTAAGCACTAGATAGGGCTTAATTTAGTAAAGTAGGGCCAACAAAACGTAGTAAAGGTGGATACCTTGAAAACGCGCGTTTCCACTGAACACAACAGCGTTTCTAAAACACAAAACGCAACTGCAGAACGCTCAACCTGACATATCCTCAGCTCCTTAAGAGAACTACATATTCGCTATGCTAAACACTTCTTTACAGCATACTGAAGTGGAAAATCTCATAACTGCGCAGTGACTTCACGACGAAGCAAGTAGAGTGTGATTCGCTGTCAGAACAGCGTGGAGATTGATCACATGAGATGATTCATCTCCACGGACACTACTGGATCCCAGAATCATCTCCTTCTTGAAAATCCAAATCCTAAAAGACTTTTCCACGAAGGTTACAAGACACTATCAGAGACAGCGGATACAATAGCTGATTTGGAACAATCTAGCAGCACTCGGGAAACAAATGAAGAGTCTGTGTGACCGCGGAGCCATTGACTGTTTGGTCAATCCACGAAACGTGTTACATTCCAGAAACCCCTCTTGTTATAATGCCACTAACAACCCGCCATCCCTAGACTCAAGTCTCATTGGTATAGCTATTCTACGCAGCAGGATCACCACTACTTGCTCGCACCTCAACATCGAAGAGGTTATGGGAGACTAATTGAGATGGAAGCGGATACGAGCTAACACTGGTCCCTGTCGATCTTTCAAGTATATTCATTGAGGGCTCTGTACTATATGTTAAGAACAATCCCATTCTTCAAGGCGCCAGTCTTTCTCTCGACCAGGATTCTATTTAATCTTTTATATTCAATGAATGATAAAATCTCTTCCACTAAGTCGTAACAAGGTTAAACTGCTAATCTAAATGAAAGTACTAATTGCATTTGTAGTTTCATGACTGTTGAAAAAGGTGGTCACACTCTCCGCTAACCCACTATGACAACACTACCAACGATGCAGTGAGCTATGAAGCACAACAGCCTGATTCCACTGCGCTAAAGAGTCTACCAAGGCGTAACTTGTTCAAAAATAGCACATAGAAGTCGTATAGCTATATATCGTAGCATAATCTACTACAAATCTAGCTAGCGCTTACCCAAATTACCGCCAATAACACCGGATTAGGCTTCAAATCGTTGCACTAAACCATCACTTATTCTACCCTTCCATCCAATTCCTTCCGAAAACCCGCTAAGCGCCATCTATCTGGTTATGTAAACGCAGCAATTTGGTTGCTTAGTAGCGCCGAAATAAGCATAGCATGTCGTGCAAATCGCCCGGTCATCAATGGCTTCATTTCCGGATTGCGAAATTGGAGAAGAAGAAAAGTAAAAAAAAAGGAGCATGGAACAGGCATGGTATTCTAGTTTATTTGACCGAGTCGAAGTGCCAGAGGTAGTAGTGCCTTTGAGAGAAAAAGAGCTGTGCGCCCGCGAATAAGGTACTATAAGTCTGCAAGCCCTACTTACATCTCTTCATCAGCTTACAAAAGTCAAAAGTTCAACCCTCACCACCCACAATGCACTTCAACATCCTCACAGCAGTAGCTTTTCTCTCCCTCGCAGGAACGAGCATGGCCGATTGCACGATGTATGCGAATCTCTACTGTGAAAACCAGGGCGGAGCGCATCCCATGGCAACCCCTTATAGGGTAATTATCGCAGCTTCCTAACTTCGATTAACGATTTACTGATTTTGTGAAAAAAAAAAGTGTTTGGCTACGCCGAGTGATCCTAGTAATGCAAAGGGTCCGTCGAATAATTGGTGCCGGTTCGTTAGGGGTTTCAATGATACGAAGTGGTATTGTGTAAGTTTCATGCTTTGTTTTTTTAAAGGGGGTTTGGGGTTAATGGAGATTTAGTGCGATCGATGAATTGGTGGGCGATTTGGATGCGAGATTGACATTGGGGAGGGTGCAAAGGGGTTGCGCTTTCGTCCATTGTAGGATGATTCGTTTTTTAGTCTTCGGTGGAAAATAGCTCCGATGGCAAAATGCAGGTAATTGGCACTCCTAATGTCTCTTTGATCCGGTTGTGTTCAAAAGGCTGGAATATACCCAGTGGTACTTAATACAATACGAATCTTTCTCTTTTAAAAGAAGAAAGTAAGCAGATCGTTACCAAGTTCAAACAAGCCCTCGGAGATACTCGTCCTACAATCAGCAGGCCACGCATTGTTCCAGATGCATCGACGACTACCGACCTTGATCACGTAGCTCCATACATCAAGACCACATCAAACCATACCAAACACCAAAACGCAACCTTTCTCTTTATCAAACAGCGATTTCAAAACGAAAAGACACAATGGTTTTTTCACTATTCTCTTCTCACACATACAATCCACAACCCTACACCCCATACCTAAACTCCCTAACCTTCTTCTGATAATACCACGTCGCAAGCGCACCCGTAACCCCCAGCGCAATCGGCACCGGCGCGCGTCCCCCCGTTTTAATAATCCTCGGAACCGCCGATCCAGTCAACATGATACTATTTCCCAGCGCAAGTTCCGTGCCGTAGTCTTGGTTTTGCTTGATGCGGTAGCCTGGGTCACGTGTTAACTTTTACTATACTTTGAGCATTGCAAAAAGAAAAAGGTCTGCGCATGGGCGGAGGCTTGTTTTAAGGAAACTTTTTTTTGCGTATAGCAAGAGTGCCAATGAGTAAAAGTGGTGGTGGATATGCGGGGAAAGACGTTACCTGCTAAAGCGTAACTGGCTCCCAATCCGATCCCAGCAACAAGGCTGGGTGTTGAGCGGGTTCGGAGATAGCCTGCTGTGCCTCCGACGGCGACTGCGGGTTTTGTTTAGTGGGATTTGCGCAATGCCGGCATGTGCGGGCTTGTGAACTTACGCAGACCTGCGAGTGTGAAGGAAGGGTGTTCTGCCATTTTTCTTGTTACTTGCAATGGATTGAGAGAGATGGATGTGTAGGTGTTTTTTGCGGGATGAGGTGGAAATATGTATGGGCGCCGGGGGGATGTCCTAGTGCGGGAAAGCGGCGGGATGCCGGAGTGCCAAGGATCCAGATGGCCATTTTTTTGCGGCATGTTGGAGCATATGACGAATTTTGGTAGTGTTTAATGAATTATGATGGGGAACCATTGAATTACAGTTGCAATTGGGTATTTTACTAATTTTGAATAAACACTAATGGGTATTATATGACAAATTCGTAGAATGGGGTATGTCCTGCAAATATTACAACCGTACAGTCTGTTGCGCCAAATAAGAGAGGTAAATCCACAAATGTGTATCACCTTCGTCTTTTGGAGGCAAACCCGAAATAAACGCCTTTTAAGGAAAATCATTAAGCCAACCGACTCGTCAACTACGTTGAGTAGTCCCGTTAGGAGCTCTGCACACTCAAACGATAACAGAGTGGCTCACGCTATACCTCACGGCTGGTGGTGCAAAAGCCGAATAGTCCGGTGGCAGATCCTCTCTTGTTGCAAAACTGGAGCTGCGACTGGCTTCTGAGCTCGATGGAGGTGCAATGCTGCGTGGCGCCAACACATCGGCAGCTGATCGGAATGCGCTTTCCTCCACACTGCGCGCGCGGGCATTCTCGATACCTGTGTCGCTGCCTTGCGCGCAGATTTGGATTGGGACCTTGAGGCTCATGCTCAAGCTGCTGTGGACTGAAAATTGCAATGTGAGAGCGTAAATGCGTGAGATTAGGCAGGAGTGGAAGGTCGGGATGAAGTTGCGTGTCATGGGTAGGGTGATGGGAACCAGGACTTGAGTCGTATAAAAGACGCCTTGATTGTAGGCGCTCGACCCCGGAAGAATGCCATTCGCAAAAGCTTCTTCGCACTCACTGTTTGTGGAACAGTCGCTAATGCCCGAGTCGCGTCGTAGAAAGCTTGCTGGCGGTGGGTTAGACTCAGCACCGTGCTTTGTCCATTGAGCGGATGCAATGCAGAGAGTGGATAGTGGCACGTATTCTGAATAAAGGCCTTGGGATAGGTCGTATGCGAGGGATGATCGTGTGGGCATGCATTTTCGTGCAGCTGAGGCGTAAAAGGTCGACACCTTGAGTTTTGTCGACAGTGAGCCTAGCTTAGGCGGAAGATTGGTCTCTTCGGCTGGATCGAAGCGGAGGATCAATTTGGCCATTGTCGTAATTAATTTACCCTCTGTTGAACGGGCGCCTGGAATAACGAGAGGTGAGGGTTGGACAGTTCTGGCCGATAACTTTCCTAGCTTTCCTTTGAAGAGCCCTTTCTTTACAGTCCTTTCCTGTCTCTGTCGGTAGTCTGGACTGTTGTCTATGTTGAGAGGTGGCTGCTCGGGAAATGCGGGCTTGACGCGAACCTTTTTGATCTTCTCAGCAAGCACAGAAATGCCTTCGGACCCGCGGATATGGGCAATCTTGACTTGGATGCCGTAGGTGATCTTGGACATATCTGGCGCTAAATCATCGAGCAACGTACTGCCGAAACCAGCAAGGTCAGCATCTCCGATGCTAGGTGGGAGCTGTAGGTGTGTGTCGCGGATGTGGTCAGAGACAACGTCGTGTGAGCAGGCTCTTGGCAGCAATTGCGATGGGACGGTGAAGGTAAACGGGATCTGATATGCTCTGCCCGCCTCGAAGATTCTTGGATCTGGGAAGATGGATTTGTCTATAGGCTGTCTAAGAGTCAAGAACCGGTGCTTCGCCTCTGTCCGTCCCGTCATAGTCGGCGTAGACGTCATCCTATCTACGTATACTTGACTGGTGCCTGGGGCTGTCAGCTGCGAAATGGTTCAGTCTAGGGATATGATGCTCACATACCGGTAAAGCTAATGTCAATGTCCTCAAAGCGCGTGTCGTGCTGCGCAGTAATTGTTACAGTGCCATCAATAGTATCCATGGAGGAGTAGCTCATGATAAACTTGGATTGGTGGTCTCTGTCTGCATGAAGGCTGATATCAATGGTGGGCTGTCCAAGCATCGTCATGTTGCGTGCCTTGTAGCCAATCTGATTGCCCAGAGTGTGCATTCTGTCTTGGTGGACGACTGCGGACGTGATTAAGGAGGATGGCATGTTGAAGGTATCGCACACGCCTCGAAGCGCGCCAGCCAAGGTATCAAAAAGCCAGTGTCAAAGTAACAAAGAAAGCCCCCCCAGAGACGGGTCGCAGGCTGACGCGGAGAAGGTGGAAACTGGGGTAGTGCAGATAGACAATGATTTCAGGCAGGAATTAGACTTTGGGGTGGCATGTGAAGATAAGGACGTAGCAATAGTCTGGGGCTTGGCCAGGGGACTGGGCTCAAGACGGTCTTATACAGTTTGTGCAAATGCAGCTTGGCTTGACTCACCCCCAGAAGGGCGCATGCATGTGCTGGGTAGACTGACGTGCTCTGCCATGGGATACGCGGGGGAGTCACCCATCACCAACCCCGACAGCCTCTACTATTCCGATGGCGCTGCACGCTATGCCCAAAGGGGGCCCGCAGGTTTGGCAGTTTTCCACACGCCCATGGACAGAAGCGTGCTAAGTGCGCCGCGCTGGAGAAGGGTCTGGGCGACATGTCTGTGAATTTTGCTGTTGCGGACCACGGCGAGTGGATACGCAGTGACGCTGGGTCGTTGCAAATTTTCGACGTTAAGCCGTTAAATGGTAAAAGGCAATTAGAGCACGTTTCAACGCGCACTCAACAATCGGAGGCGCCCGAAGCTGGTTTGCCCGAACAAAATCTCTGTCGCGGTGAGGGCTGGCCAGGCATGCAGGCCGATGCCCACATGGAGGGCTGCTACTCAAGCGTAGGGCGTGTGGGCACGAAATGTACAAGGGCGCGGGCCCATTAATCAGCACAGCGTGCTCTGCCTGTAACCACTCAGCTCCTTCGGAATACTCTACTTTGGCTATTCCGAACCGACTCATCACCCATCCACCGCTCACGTCTCGTGTTTTCCGGCGGTCAGTTCGTACGTGTGCTGTGTACACTGTCCATGCTTGACACGTGGGCTGGGGGTTATTATGGGCGCCTTTTATTTCTTGGGTCTGGTTCAGCACGACATTTTATGGTCAAGCAAAGCCAATTCCGAAGCGGTGGCCCTGCTACTATGGGTAATTAGTGCCAAAGGAGGGTGAGGTGCAGCCGACGTCATGCCAAATCCTGCGAGCGCAATCTACCATCATCAACGCGTACCTGACGGGAAGCGTGTTGCATATGTACACACACTGACAGGCACATGTCTCGATTGTGCGAGTAGAATGACGATTCGGGCCCGCCGCTTACTCACCAAGCTGCCATACCTTCGCTCTTGACGGCACACTCAGGGCTCAACGTCGGCCTCTCAAACAAAGCAAAGCAAAGCAGAATGGCTACAGCCAGAAGTCCTGCCAGCGCTCCATTCGCAGAGAACCTGCCTACCCCGCCCGCCTCTTCTGCAGCGCCCTCACAGCACCCCTCGCCCCTGCCGCAGCCGCGGAAGCACCCCCTCAAGCCTGGTGGCCCCAGAGAATCGGATTTGATCAGATACCTGGATCATGGTATCAACAGCATTCAGAAGCGCGTGGATAATCGCATGACCAACCGCAAGCTCAAGCCTGAGCCTGGCGAAGAGCAAGGATATAGCGCATTCTGGGAGGTGGCACGCGACCTCGATGGCTTGGTAGACGTCGTGTGGGTGTCGGCATCTCGTAAGCAGCAACATGGCGCGGTCGGTGTAACAGGTACTGATGTGCGCCACATGCAGCGAACCTCCAGATTCCCTATTTGCTCAACATTGCCGTTCTAACCGCTGAATTCCTTCCTCTGTTCACTTCATCAACGCGCTCCACCCGGGCCACCTTTGGCCTCGTCTCAAAACTTGACTATGCCTTCTCCTCACTACTGACTGGCCACGACCTTGCTACAGGCGAGCTGTTGCCTGGTTTTGAAAATGGCCGAACAGTCACAACCACGGATAAGGTCCGCTTGAAGGGCATTGTAGATCGCACCCGCCTGACTGTCGTCCGTGTTATGAGTGGAGAAAGTGTCGTTGGGGACGATCAAGACGTGGGCGAGGCGATGGATACAGACAACGAGCGAGAGGCCGAGCCGCGGGGCCACGATGGAACGGTCACCTTTGAAGGCTTTGAAAATAATACTGACGACGAAGAAGAGGATGATGAGTGGGAGGAGCGTGGCATAGCCACTATCTATGAAAAGACAATAGGCGAGTTGGGCGACGTCCTCGGTGGCCCCCCAATTGGTATCATCACAGACGACTGGGCTAGCAAAGGAGCAGAGCAGCAAAGAAGCGGCGGTGGCTTCGTAGAGTCTGACATTGATTTTGACTAAGCTGATATATGGCACGTTGATTATTTCTTCGTCTTCTGAGCCTGAGGCATGCCAGTGCGGGAGTAATTGCTGGAGATGGGCCGTTTGGAGATATTTGCCATTCTACTCAGTTGTTCCTTGTCCAATCTCTTCTTCTCATGTTTTCATCCCGCATGTTATCTTGATTCCACGTACTTCCAGACATTCTCTCACTCCACTCTTTTTTTTCTTATTCTTGTAGGTAGCCAAAAGTCTTGTCGTGATGAAGATTCGACGATGCAGGAGCAGTGGCCTCTGAATACGGCTGTGACTGGAAAATGTTTGTGTTGGGCTGGAAAAGTACATTCAAAGTTGGCGAGACAAGGCGGCCGGCGGTGAATGACAGGGAAGGAGCGTTTGAGGGTGCCTACCTGATCTGGAAGTCCACGATACAAGCCATGCGACAAAGCCCGACCACGCTCAACCACGCCCGACACATCCCAGATGGTATACGCGTGCACAATTCCGGTTGTGAGAAATCTTTCCTTTGCCTAACACTATTATCCATGCTGTCTACTGCGCCATACTCTGATACGCAAAATATTCTATCGCCGCCCCACAAACATGCCTACATACCTGGCACGCGGCGTGTCGGCACGCTTGGGTATCATGCCACTTGCCGACACCATTTCTGAACAGATTATACTACGAAGGGGAGAGGATGCCAGGCAGCAGTCAGAAGCGGCCGAGAAACAGTTGCAGAATAGTAGGCTGCTCAATGAGGTGTCCGTACCTTTCCCGGGTGACGAACAACAACACCGTTTAAACTGGCTGGGAGACGCACCTTTTCTGCAGGTACAAGCTGGCTGGGACGCTTTTGAAGAGGGATGCGCAGAGACAACAAGGGCGACTACGGGTACTTGACTCCACCTCATAACAATGCCAAAGCTAATCTTTACCTCGTAGGCGTTCCGTCCTCTCAAGAACCCAAAGCACTTGTTCTTCATGTCAATCTTTCAGACAGAACGTACATAACCGGTCTCAACGGTCGCAAAACTTCACTCAAGATCGAAGTCTTCTTCAACGGGCAGCTGAATAGTTGCTGGCTTATGGCTACGCACGACGTCAGGACTGGCGTCAAAAGACACCATCAGATTTTTGCTGGAGCTAGGGTCGATTTCGCCGCTGAGCGTCCATGGGTGATCCTCCCACCTGGGATGAAGCCAGGAGAGAGCCTTGGAACGCACTGTGAGCCCATCTCAGTAGCACAGCGATGGCAGGATATTTGCCGCGCCTTCAAAAATGAAGCACATGAGAGGGGTGCCAACGAACACGGAGAAATCCCTGCAACCGCCACATTTCTAGAGGCTCTTGCAGCTATGCAGATGCCAGATGAAGTCCGGAATATGCAGAAGCCAAGGGGGAAAGTTTTCGGCACAATCGACGTTGTCGTCACGGCCGGGGAGGGTAAGAAACTCACAAGTGGTGTAGGCTACCTAACGGCGCCGAAAAGGATGTTCGACGAGAACTTTCCGCTCGTGAGACAAAGTGATGGTGCTGCCCCAGACATACAAACAGCTGGGACTCGACAAACTGGAAGCAACGATGAGCTCAACAGCATCCAGCCTGGTTATGATAGTTTCGACGCGAATACAGAAGGCGAATACCACCAAGGATATAGCTTGTCAACACTGGAAAAGTCGTTGAGCGCAGACAGGCCTGGCATACCAACTGTTCCTGAGTTCGCTCCATGGAGCAGAATTCCAGACAACTTGCAGCACATCCGAGGACAGAGTATATCGAGCGACCTAAGCAATCAATCATGTCAACCAGATACTGCACCGTGTTTTGGTCCGCTCCAACATTCGCCCTTCAGTTTTCCCGGCCCAAATCAGCCCCTCTTGATGGGTCCTATGCAAGATTTCAGCATCGTGTCTGATCGATTTAGACCTAGTGCATCTGCGCCACCGTATCTCTTACCGAATCAGCCTTCTCAGGGCTTCAATGATGGCACATCTCCGCTTTTACACGGGAACCTCACAGAAGACGATCATGAAGGTTCAAGAACACCTCAAAACATGATTCCTGCTCCATTCTGGACGCAACAAGTTCCCGACCTTCGTGAGCAAGGAGCTATTGAATTACCATACGTGCCACTTCCTCCATCGAACAACTACCTGGAGTGGCCAGCGCCACCCATAGGGCTGTATTCTGTACCCACGAAGCCAAAACGAAGCATCTACCCACGGAAGGACACTCTTTCGGCGATGGTGAAGAAAGATGGCCGCGATGTTCTGCTTACGAGGTTGGTGATTCTAGGACAGAATAAGACCGTCTCAGTTGACCACAAGTGGGACCCACCAAAGCGCATCACAGTAGGATCAAGAAGGCCAGTATGTCCCGAGCCTCAAACCGGCCATTCAACGAGCATGAATGAATGCCTTGAATCATCAAAATCCAGGGACACATCTGCCAGCATCAGCCAACCAGAGAAAATTGCAGTCCACATGAATACGTCAGCGCCCACATCATCCGAGAATTCTAGCATGGATGTGTCTCTCAAAGAAACCCCCCATATATACCAGTCTCAGGATGAGGTGATTGTGGGAGAGAACGAGTCAGCTGATCTTTGCCGTAAGCCTGACACATTGCAGCTGAACGACGCTCGTCTCTTTGCTCAATCAGAGAAGGACTCTGGGCTTTCCACAAAGAACAATTATGATCGTCGCGCTTCACCAGGCAGTAGCTTGTTTGCGGTTCAAAGTCCCGAAACGAACTCACCTTTGTTTGGGAGACCAGAAGAGATGTTGCGCGAAGCATCTCCTCTCTCTAGCCTGCATACCACCCCTAATATTGGTTTAGAGTCTATGGAATACAAACTTCAGTCTGAACAGACTAACCCAATTACCTCAGTGCCTGTTCGACCGGCGGATGGCTTAAACGAGCACGTAATTCTACCAAGTCCCGACCGTTCTCACCCTACATTGTTTCCACATATCTTGAGTTCGGCGGTCAAAGCAGCTCCGTCTTCAAACGCCAAGAAGCGTAAAGCCTCCGATGATGTCTCTACCAAGAGGTCACGCAATCGTACTTCCTTGAAACCAGACGGCAATCCCTCGCTAAATCAGAACTGTGTCATTGCATATGCAGAGAACAAGGACGAGGGAGATGAGCAAGGTGTTTTCAGGCAAGTCCGGAGTGAAAGATGTGGGACATTTCAGGAAGACTACGTCGTCTTTGCGGCACGTTTCTTTGTAGGAGAAAAGGCGAGCATGGACAAATAGTAAGAGACGTGTCGCGGCAGAGAAGGGTCACTGGAGATTACATGTGAATGTACGAAGAGAAGAAGCGATAAGAATGGCGTCAAGGAGCTAGTAATGGCAGGTATGAGGTTTCATGATGGATGCTTTGCTGTTTTTCTACACGCAAATACGAGATCTCCAGCCCGTCAGTAGTCCAGGAATAGTTGCGCTTGTGCAAGTAGGTACGCGAACACAAAAGCCAGGATACCCAGGACGATGCGTCATTGCGCAATGGAACCTCTGTTATCGTGAAGCAGCGGGTCAGGGATACAAGGGGGTGTCGCGTGATGACGCACGCCATAGTACTTACCTCTCAGCTGTCAACTAATGCATCCGCTGTGCCCTCTTCGGTTCCGATCATCTTTTTGTCTAAACTAGACCGCATCACAGCACATTTCTCATGTACATATGTATGACGGAGTCGGTTAGTGGGTAACCAGGTCTTGTCTTTTTGTGCAGTCAGTTGTGCAACATGCAAGCAAAAGCTGGCGCGTCACAGCCACGAAAGGCTGTCGGCCCTTTCCAGCTCTCAACCCCGCATCACAAGAACAAAGTGATAAACTCTGGTTGGCCAATCTTGACAGAGCTGCGCCCCTGACTGGGAAACGAGCGCCTTGGGTGAGGCACTAAATTACAAGGCAAGTTCCGGCCAACCCGTGTTGTCAGTATCGGCGTGCAGAGATTAGACTTGGTTTTTTGTTGTCAGATGAGGTGGTCGCTGAGGCAGTACTTTCTCTCTCTCTCTCTCTCTCTCTCATCCTCTCCTCCCTCGTCACGCATCGCCTTTGTCAGGGTTGCGCGCTGGGTTATGAATACGGTTGCCGAATTTGCTGCGCCAGAGGTACTCTAGCCATACAAGACGCTGATAGAAGGGGACACAGCATACGTACTTCCCGGTCGACAAGTGCGAGACGGATGATATGCATGAGGCCCGAACGGTCAAGGTCGGACATCCAGCTGCATACTCGAACCAGTGCCCGTACAAGTTGTGTTCCGGATCAACTGGTATTGCTTCTTTTTTCTTCTTAAAAGCGTGTGTAAAAATCCTGGATAGCGCGTCGTTATGTCGAGCAATAGCACAGAGACGAAGGAGCCGTCGGGTCCAAGAGGCGGCACGCTTGTTATCGCCATCATTGTGCCTTCGGTTCTGATTATTCTGTTGATTGTCCTTATCATTGTGTCAGTCTCTCGTCCGCGCGCTGCATGTCAAAGTTACACGTCTGAGCTAACAAGCAGCAATCGACGCAGAGGTTTTCTCCTCCCACGACTGGCCCGCGAAGAACGGCGCGTGCGCGAGAACGGTTGGCAGACGCGGAAAGAAGAGTTGGAAAGTCGAGTCAAGGCGCAGTATTTTTCTAAGTGGGTCGCCGGCCAAAAGGAAAAAGGGTCTGGGGCGCCTCAAATGTCAGATGCATTATGGTGAGATTGTTATTTGCTGGCGACAACAGCGCATCATGAGCTTATTTTTTGCGGCAGTGCTATTTGTCTCGACGATTTCGCCGACGATTCCCAGGTTCGAGGGCTCGAATGCGCACATGCGTTTCACTCACACTGCCTGGACGAATGGTATACAAAGTACAATGAATATTGTCCGTTGTGCCATGGTCCGATAATCCCCGGGGCTCGGTTACCGAAGAAGAAAGCAAGAGAAGTAGGCGAGCCGACGATTCCGGTGATTCTCATGGTCTGAGAAAAGGCGACATAAAGGCAACTTGATGCTGGGTGCTAGAGTGTCAATGTGAAGTCGCATACATATATAATAACCATGTAGCCGCAAATGGACGAGACTAAAAAAAGACATGGGGCACCACGCAGGTCGCTTTAGTCGCTCGGGATAGACGGGAGATCTCTAACGGGGCAGGTAAATTCTGTCCTGATCAACGGGTGGCGAGCAAGTGGGTCAAGCCAAAAGGGCTGCCAGGACCGAGGCAAATGTTCAGCGCCAATGAGGCAATGGTGTCCATGACAGCGTATTCATGACCGCAGTCGACAAGTGTTATGTACACTACACATATGGACGACATGGTAGATGAGAGGACAAGTGACCAACGAGTAGTGGTGCTTGCTAGTAGTCTACATGTGTACTGGGTACCAAGCCGGGCTGGGTAGCGTAGGTGGATTAGTGTATCCGGCACATCAACGGCTCCCGCTGCCGCTGGTAGTAGTGGACATGGCCTTTTACCACTCTAGACCTTGCACGGTCCAATGCCAAGTGTGTACGTATACAGGACATGGTATACAGACTTGAGTAGGATAAAGCGAGAAAGCCGAGAATGCTGCGAGAGAGGCCGCGGTGGTCTTGGCTCGAGGCGAGGAGGCACAGAGGGCGTACCAGACAAGACGCATTGGGCAGTGGGCGGGGCTCAGCCAAATGTCACGCCACATTTCTGGTGGTCTGATCATCCTCAACCGCCATCCATCCAGACCCGGCCAGTCCCTCCCAGCTCAGCTGCACCGCACTGTTCTGCACCCCTCTGCTGCTGAGACGCCCGTTTGAGCCTTCTGACCCCGTCGCCCTTTTCGTCTTCCCTTCTCGTCCACCGACACACGTCCACGCCCTGCAACTCCCGATTCCCCAGCCCGGCTTCCCCCCTGGTCGCACCACCTAGAACCTCTACTACGGGCCTGCAAACCACCTGCAACCACTGCCAAGTCTCTGTGTTTGGTCTTACTACTCACCATCCTGGACACCTGCTCCCCTCCTCGGGCTCAATCTCGGGCTTCGCTTCTTCACACTGCTCAAGCCCATCTGCCCTTCTCCCTCTTCCACCCATCTCCCCAAAAGAGGCCTGCTGTTTGTTTCTGTCTTTTCCTAGGCCTCGACCAAAAACCAAAGGGAGTGGCCGCGCTTATATCCTCGTCCCCCACCCGGTCCTGACCCTGCACGTCGTTGGCTAGTCTCATCTGGCGGCTTGGCCATAGCACCCTCGAGCCATTGTATCTCCTGATCAACGCGTGAGCTCTTCCGTGCCACAACCCACCCACCGACAATCACCATGGCTCTCAATTGGGACGCATTCCTCAATACTGACGGTTTCAACCTGCCGAACAACCAATGGTCCGATCCTTTACCACCGACCGCTGCCCCTCGCGCCTCTCAAATGCCAAAGTCTACCACCACCGACACGTCAGGCTCTTCACCTGAGGACCTCAACAACTTTGACTCTCTCATCGGTGCTTCATCAGCCGATCCCTACTTTGACGACTCGCTTTTCCTGTCCAACGACTACTTTCTCGGCGATCTCGACGTCCTCAAGCCCTTTGGCAACACTGCTGGGGGCAAGTCGACAACGGAGTCATCTCCTGAGCCCACGACAAGTGGTAATAACCCCGCAGCACAGGTACCCGTGTCGCTGGCGAACGGGCTAGACCAATCAGCTCACATGTCTCCCGCCCAAAGGCTGGCACTCCAACGTGCCAACACGTTTCCTAACCCCGCATACGAGTCCATGTTCCCCAACAACATCGACTCGGGCTTCGTTGAAGACCTCACCTTTCCAGATGGTCCCAAGGGCCTATCAGTTGCCCAAAAGCCTGCCGTGGAAAGAAATCAACCTTCGACATCGACAAACACTACTTCGAAGCGAACCAAGAACAAGCCAGATATCCTTTCTGCCTGCTGGACCTCACCCCTGTGTCCCAATCATGACCAAGATGGACCACCACCCAACCCATCAACATGTGGCGGCGGATGTGCGCCCTTCTTATTCGCAGACCAAGACAACCTACCAAGCATCAATGATTTGCTTGCTGAGCCTCAAGAAGTTATGGCCGAAGATGGCATAGTAGAGATTCAGCCTAGGCCCAAGAAGCGATCCGAGAGTGATGCATCCGCTAATGGCTTCTCTACTCGACAATTCGAGAGCAAGGAGACGACTTCATCACCGACTGAAGATCGTCACAGGACCAAGAGCGAGACTACAGAGGATAACTCCACCAAGGAGTCACCTCAAGCCGACGACGGAAAACCAAAGTCTCGTCGGCGACTACCACACAACCAGGTTGAGCGCAAATACCGCGAATCACTCAACACCCAGCTTGATTCTTTGAAGAGAGTTGTACCTTCACTACAACAGAACCCCCGGGCGTGCGACAGCGCCGACATTGAAGACCTGCCCGCCCCTTCGAAGCCCAGCAAAGCCGTCATCCTGGCCTCAGCAACCGCCTACATCAAGCAAATGGAGAGAGAGAAGAAGAGCCTCGCTGATGAGAACCAACTTCTCCGCACAAGAGTAAAGGCTCTACAAGCCCTTGTCAAATGCGACGACTGCAGTTTGATGCAGTACGTCATGGACCTGAAGATCAAACAAGGGGTTTAGAAGAAGACCCTCCGTTTATTTTCCCTCCCCCAACCTCACTCAAACAAGTTCTGAGAAACCGACATTTTTGTAAATCAGCATGGGATTAATGGTGTTTTTTTTTGAAGATTCCCCTCCAATCTCAAAATCGTAACCTAGATTTTCCTCTTTCTCTCTCCCGCGAGTTCCGAACCAAAACATGGGAAGTGGGGGACAAATAGCTAATTTGGGGGTGTGTGGTCCTGACCTTTGTTTTTGGGCAACGGATCCCGACTTTGTCGGCGATATCTTTTTCAACATTCTCTCTCTCTTGTCATGGATGAAATGCACAGATGCTGCTTCACATGTAATGATTATGGCGTTGATAAGGGTTACTGGGGAATTCAAAAAGCGCACGCTTTGGCGATGACGCTCATGGCGTTTTTATTGGGAAGGATGGCTTTTTTCCTTTTGAACGGGCTGTAGAGCAGGGTAGCTTTCAACAGAAATATACGATCATACGCCTGTTTTTGTTGGGGGTTCTTTTCGCGTGGTGTGAGTTGCTGCACCACAGTTTGCTGGTAGCGATGAGATAAGTGCAGTGAAAAGTAAGTTTTATTTGCTTTCCATTCATACTACCATTACTTTCAACTCATTACCCAAGCATCATTACTATTATCTCAACTTTTTTTGTTTTCCCCCAAAATCACGAAAAAAACCACCAAACGCCTAGTCCTTAAACACCATATTCACTCTCTTCCTCTAAGCCTTCACATCATCCACCCCCTCCATCGCAACCCTGGGTCTCACATACCCATCTATTTCTATTCTTTTTCGTCAGCCTTTCCTTTTCCCTTCTCCAACCCACCAATTATACAGAGGAGGTAACTTACGCATACTGCACTGTACATATCCAACCGGCCAAACAGGTCCATCCCATCTATCCCATCCTTGCTCATACGATGTTATGGATGCTTTTTCCAGCTCGAATGCTGCGTCCTCGGCGGTGAGGAGGGTGGGGGTTACGAGCGGGGTTGACATTGTGGTTGCTGAGAGGGAGAGGTAGGAGTAGTAGGGGTCGTATAGCATATGGGTTTGAATTGATATTGTTGTTGGATGATTTTTTTTTCGGAAGTGGGAGTGGTTTGGGGTTGGTAAATGCTGAGGGAGGATGTGGAGGGGTGTGTTGGAGAGGTGGAATTTATATGTAGTAGTAGTAGTGGTAGTAGGGGAAAGAGGAGGAAGAGGTAGAGTATGGAGGCAAAGTGGTGAGATCGATAGCTTAGTCGGTTGTGGTGTCCTTGCATCTCGATAGTTCGTAGCTAGCAGTAGCACGCGATAAAATCAGAAATGTATCTCCAGATACTTTTTTTGACGCTGCCATCCCTGGAATTCGCCTTTTCCGCCTTCCGTCTTCCACGTACCCTGCGCAGTAAGCTGCGTCGGGAGGGCCCGGTGTGGCACGGGGGGTAGCGCGGGTGGAGAGATATGTGGCGTGATGGGGTGTGTGGTTCTCGGAAGTATCCGGTCGCGCCACCACGTGTCTAGATTCAGGTGCGGCTTCTGGATTTGTGTGTGCGGCGCATCATTTAATCTAGGTACACGTGTGTAGCTGAATGTTTCTGGGAATGTGGGGTGGGAGGTAGGTATCACACCATTGTGCTGTCGTGATGTTGCTGCGTGTGGAGAAGAGGGGGTGGTTTATATATGAAGCCCCCCTTGGGCAATACAGGAAGTTTATTACTATCTCCATCTACAAACCCACCATTTGTATCAAAGACATTAATTACTTAAAAGTCATATATACTTTTACCATTACTTGCGAAGCGCCGCGACTAAACCGGACTTACAACGCCAAAAACAAATATACGAACCATCCAACAAAACCAGGTTCCACCACCACAACAACATACAACAACACACACATGTCGTTCTTCCCAATCATACCTTCAACATCCCTCTACAGCACCATCCTCGCTCTCCCACCACCCCACCACTACTACAACGACTACGACTACGACTACCAACCCCCCACCCAACAAAAACCTCACCACCACCATCAACACACCATCCACATGGACCACCATACCTTCACATCCTTCTTCTCCCACCTCCTTGCACCCGTCTCACACACGCAATGCACAAGCTCAGCGCCCTGCTCATCCCCCACATACCACGAGGAGCACAAAGAAAAAGAACCACACATAATCCGGCTCGCGGAAGAAGAAGAAGAACTGGCGCGCTTGCAACATGGCGAGCAGCAAGATGGTACGCCGTTGTGTCGTGAGGGGGGGATCGCGGCGTGGCATCAACAACAACCGCAGCAGCAGCAGCAGCAGGGTGAGCGCAGGGATTCGATGGAGGTGCAGAAGAAGAGAAGGGCGAGTTTGGAGTGGTTGGCTGGGGTTATTAGGGAGAGGAGGGTGCATGTTTAGATAGTTTGGGGACTTGGGTGTGAGAATGAAAGGGAGAGAGAGATATACCCGGGTGAGAATAAGGCAGGAAGGTAGAGGTAGAGAAGTGTGTGTGAGAGAGAGAGAGGGGGGGGGTGTTCTCGAACTTTTTAGGTAGTTAGAGTTGAGTGAGGTGAATGGGAAATCTTTTTATATTCAATGTTAGATGGGAATTTTTTGTAAACGACGTTTTGAATTCTACTATGCGAAATGTATGATTCGAATCGTTTAGTGGCATCATGTCACTTGGTTCTTTTCTTTGATTCCTCGGGAGTAAGTAAAGGGGGGGTAATTATCGAGGTATTTGTATCGTTTGTGGCAAGGACAAGTCTTTTTGTTTAAAAAAAAAGCCTTTGTGTTCTTTTCGATGAATTGGAGAATGTAGACGAAGATGGGATGGAGGCGAAGGTGCAAGGTTAAAGGATGGTAATACTAGATACAAGGCTGGATCGTGTGCAGATTGGGTCGGTATACGGGTTTTTGTTGGTCGGCATGTGACACAGATGAGATTCATGAATTTTATAGATGATTTCCATTATTTTTGGGCGTTGAAAGATGAGTGCGAAGGTAGTAGTGGTGTTATAGTATCATAGTCTTGAGTGTGGCAAAGGAGATGAGGATGGCATGGTTTTGTGAGGGCTGGGCACACAGTTCTATGTATACATTTCTGTATTCAAAAAGTCAATGGCTCCAAAAGGAAGTAGGACCCGAGCAATTGTTAATAGTCCGTACAGAACATCTCTAATCTGTAATAAAAGTGCAGCGATAACGATTGATCAGTTTACACCAATGCTTCTACTCGAAACTTTAACACCTTACCCTCTATTTCCTTATCAAGCGCAACATACCTTGAGCTACCCCAACACCCAAACATACTCCAAGAAATACCCCGAGAAAAGCAATCTATCTCTCCGTTACGGCATGTCATCTCTTACAACTACAACGTGCCACCGACTAGCTCCTTGGCAGCAAATATGTCACTGGCGACCGCTGATTGGCTGACTATTCTCTAGAACCCATGCTTAAAAGACTTCGAACACACGAACGATTTACCGTGTATGCAAGCGTCGCAAACCACCATGAACACAACAGAGCACAGCGCATACCAGCATGGCAAGAGCGCGGGGATAAGAGATGGAGATGATGTTGAAAAAGCTGGAGATGCGCAGGCAATCCCAGGTAAGCATGGCAGCTTAGTCGATCCTACAAGCTCGAAATTTATTCTTGTCGACAGGACACGATGGCGAACAGAAGGACCTTCCGCCATTGAAGGGACTGTCATTTCTCGATCGGTTCCTCGTCGTGTGGATTGTACTTGCCATGGGCATCGGCATTGCGCTTGGGAATACAGTCGACTCTGTAGGACCTGCGTTGCAAAAAGGCGAGTTCGTGGGTGTGAGTATACCCATAGGTATGTGTAACCAACAAAAGAAAAACGAATCAGATCGATTTAATGCTGATGTACCCACAGCAATTGGACTGCTTGTCATGATGTACCCAATCCTTTGCAAGGTCCGATACGAAACGCTGCATCTGCTCTTCAACTCTAAGGAACTCTGGATCCAAATCGCAGTCTCATTTGTCTTGAACTGGATCATCGCTCCGCTTTTCATGGTCGGCCTCGCTTGGGCGTTTCTGCCAGACCGCCAGGACCTGCGCGAAGGACTAATCTTCGTAGGCATCGCGAGATGCATTGCCATGGTACTCATCTGGACCGATCTCGCACAAGGCGATGGCGACTACTGCGCGGTTCTTGTCGCCTTCAACTCGATACTGCAAATTATCCTGTTTGCGCCTTTCGCCGTATTCTACATCCAGGTCGTTAGCCACGGAGAAAAGACGGCCGTTTCATACCAAGGCGTTGCGAAAAGTGTCGGGGTATTCCTTGGGATACCCCTTGGAGCAGCGGTCGTCACTCGGCTGGCTTTAAGGACCCTTCTTGGAGAAGAACGATACCAACGGCGCTTCATCCGATACATTGCACCGTTCTCCCTCATTGGCTTAATCTACACCATCATCGTCCTCTTTGCAAGCCAGGGCGCGCACGTTGTCCGGCAAATCACCGACGTTCTTCGTGTTTGCGCACCGCTACTCGTCTACTTCCTAGTCATCTTTACAAGCACAGTTTGGTTCTGCTGGAAGATGGGATTTGGGTACAAGGTCAGCTGTACACAAAGTTTTACTGCTGCAAGCAATAACTTTGAACTGGCTATTGCGGTAGTGGTAGCCGTGTATGGCGCTGGCAGTGGACAAGCTCTGGCAAGTACCGTCGGACCTTTAATTGAAGTCCCGGTCCTTGTACTGCTTGTGTACGTCCTGAAGTGGATCCGGGCGAGATGGCAATGGGCCTAGAAGCCGTGGCATTGTCCTATCAAATGCATGTCGGTCAGCATAAGATTAGCTTCGGACCCAAGGCCACGACTCGAGCCAGAACTGGAAACCGAAATGCAGGTATGAGGGCGGATCGTCCGGAAATGGTCTTGTTCCGACACGGTGCCTGCTTTCAAGGACAGCGACATCTTGTCATGGATTCCTCGCGAGTCCATGACGGGTATGACCCGGAAACGCTTTGCTGCGATTGCAGCCAGTCATAGCTGCGAAGGGATGGCCGTGACAGGATGGCAGAGTAGCGCGAACCGTGTTTATAGGTTCACGGCGGATGCCAAGCGCTCTTAAGGGTTGCGCTATTCTCTCGAAGCCGTAGTGTACGACTTAATGTTTAGTTTGTTGCACATCATAATTTCGGGGCGAAAACAAAAAGCGTAGTGAATATGTGATTTGCAAACAGAGAGAGTAAAATCAGCTGTCTAGTGCGCACGGAGAAGATACCTTAGTCACTGACAGTGGTTGTCGCTTAACAAACACCACAGTCCCTAGTCGCATGTGATTTTGCAACCGATCTTAGCACATGACCGGCGCGCAAGCAAGGGTACGACTTCCGTGCAAAAACCCCACAAGGAGCGACTTTCCACCGACACGGACCATGCGGCTTACCACACCAAAGCCACATAAGAGGGTAAATTCAGAACCGATGGGCAGGCGGTGAGAACCAGACGCGATCTTATCAACTTGACAGTGATCAACCGGTGGCTCATACAGCAGTAGGGCCCATCGATCGTGCAGGATTCTGCCCACCCCGTACCCGTCTGAATGTAAGTAAGTACAAGGCTGACGACAGGCAGCCTCCAGCGGGGTCAAATGTGCGGATTCTAGTCATTGAATGGTCTATCGGCGGCGCCGCGAGATAAACTCTACCCAAAAGCGCTTGTTCCCCTGATGACACATGGCCGCTCCGTCAGAGGTGCCGATTCGCCGTCTGCGGGGATCCATCTTTACGACGTCGTAGTAGTTTGACTGGACGTCATAGCAGTCGACTCATCTGGTATGTGTGTAGCGAGTTTGCTTGCTCCAATCCGAGCTTGATAGATAATCCTCTTTACAAATCAGCCCATTAGCCTTGTGTGGATTGTGCGATAGGCGTGACATGGCGTAGTTTTTTTCATCTGCTTTGGCAGAAGAATGATGCTGGTGGGTTGCCTTACGGGCACACAGCTGAAAAGCTCCAAGTCCATGTCAATGCGTTTGGTACTTTGTGCCCCCACAGTTCTACTACTACTTGGATACATAGTATATACTACTCAGTACACACATGCGTACATGGGCAGTTGCACAAGTGGAGCACGCATGTCGTGCAAGCGCATGCCGAACGACTTTTGTACCGTAGCAGAGGGCCGATTTTGTCAAGTTGTTACGTGGTGGCAGGCTTGGCCATAGCCGCGAAGGTACGGTTGCAAGTAACCGTGGCACGGGGTGGATCGCTTTGCAACAATCCCTGCACATCCTGAGGCCACACCTGTTCGGAGATTTGGTGGCTCTGTCAAATGCTGGACATGACTCCCAGGACCTAAACCTAGCCATTCGTGGTATATCGCAAGACAGACAATGCCATGTACTGGGTTCATGGCGACTGCACGTCTATGTACGTGTAATTCGGTGGCTGCGTTATGCTCCACACAGCCGTGCCGTAATGCAGCAGCGTGAGCAGCATATGCATGTGTTGGCTTGCAGTCGTCGTGGTAATTGCAGTCTCAAAACGGAGAGTGTCCGTAGGGCGCAAGGTTGGTGTGGCGCCTGGTATTATATGACGCGCCAGTGGTGTTTTTTTTGGCTGGGTGCGGCGTGAAGTCGACAATTGATGAAGCCAGCATCTGCTTACTCAGACTCGACCTTGTGGGGGATGCATATGTTGCTGCAGCGAAAACTTTGGACAAGCGGACCGCAACGTCGAAGGGGCAAGCCGCAGTAAGCGCGTGGACATGTAGGCGGCGGCCGAGAATGGTTCCGTGTGTGGACAAGAATTAGACATGACGTAGAGAAGGACCGCATTCGGGCAGGTGTTTGCGAGGTGGAGAGACGCTCTCTCCATGGGCGTGTTTGTTTCGTCGATGGTGATAGCCGAGCCATGGCGTGGTCAGCGACGAACGCACACGTCGCTCTTAACGGCGGGCAATATAGCTGGAACACGACTGTAAAGGCTGAAACTGGGAGCTGGAGCTGGCCCAGGAGGCGGACAGGGCCTCGGCTATCATGCCCTCGTTCCCGTCTCAGGAGTGTCAGATGTGTGCGCCCCGCATGCACTCTCGAGTGCAGTCGACGAATGCTGTGGCTGCAAAGAGCGCCTTGCAGCGGAGACCCACGTGCCTGGTGCCAATGGGGACAGGCATCCGCGGCGGCGTTGGCTGTCAAACAGGCACCATGGGTTCAGCTGGCTGGCACGGCAGATGGCATAGCCACTGCTGCCCGTCTGTTGTTTCGAGAAGGGCGGACGGGCAGTTCTGGAGCCAGCAGTGGTGGTGTTCATGCACTTGGGCCGGCCGGCGGCGCGCCAGTCGCACTTTGCCCTCCCAGCCTTGTGGAGCACCCGGTACAGCGGTTCGACCAGGCTAGCAACGACCGTGTTTCAATCTGGCCTTGCCCGGCTTGCGGACTGCCCTGCCTCTATGTGTGTGTGTGTGTGTGTGTGTGTGTGTGTGTGTGTGTGTGTGTGTGTGTGTGTCTGTCTGTGTGTCTGTCTGTGTGCCTGCGTGCCTGTGCCTGCGTGCTCGCACTCGTCAGTCTCTCTCGCCCTCCCCGCACTCTTGTCGCCCGACACCACCTCAGCCTGAAGTCTTGCCTCTCCAATCTTGCAGCCGTCCCTTGCAACGTTGCATCAGTCTGGCACAATGCTGCTGGACGTCGGTAGCTGAAACGGCTCCCTTTTGTCCCATCGACAGGGACGGCCGCACCTCGCTACCGCCCCCCGGTAGGACCTGGATCGCCGCCGCTGACCAACAAGCACAAAAACAATTAACAATATGCTGCACCCACGCTGCGACTGCGACTGCTGCTGGCTCCCACGGCGGCTGGACGTAGCAGCACATGTACGTCGAGAGAGAGTGGGCCGCTACCCCCTAAACCACCCCCTGCAGAGACTGGCTGACCCTTAACTGCGCTTGACCATGGCACTGGATACTGGGCACATGGTCGCCGTCTAGCTGCTCGTAGTATCCAGTTCGTCGCAGTCGAAAATCTCTCCATGCGGCGCAGCTGAGGGGGGACGGCAGCTAAGAGCCAGTAACATGTATGATCCTAGGCGAACCGCCCTTCTGGGAGCGCAGTCGACTCTAGCACCACCCATCGGCGCATCGACTATGACCCGTGTCGCCGATTGCATGAGCATAGCTTGGCCAATCCCACACACGGGGCTTTTGGTACTAAATTTGTCAGCCAAGCAGAATGCTCAGCTCGCGTGCATCGACAAAGGAACGTCGATATGTTGCTGTTTGGGTGCAAAGGCGATGCTGCTTACTCTACCGTGCGGCAGAGATCTGCGCCTGTGCCCATGACATCGGTCGCTAGCGAGGTCTCGTCATTTCTCCTTACACAAGCAGGCCAGGTCGCCCATGCTAACCGCGCCCGCGACGGCCCACCGGGTGTATAAGCTTGGTAAGAGTAAGAGTGTATCTTGGTGCCTTATCCGCCTAGCCGTAGAATTATACATACTAGTACTACATGGACACGAACAAACATGAGATGTTGTAGTACTCGCAGAGCAAAGCTTGTACGCTGCTTGTTGACCAAAAAGGTGGGACTCCAACGGCAGAGCCCACCCCTTGTGTAACCCTTCCTGTACCGAATGACGACACGGGCAGCGGAACGGCGCGCGGCGCTGCAACAGAAGAGTGCATCCATGAAGCGGTCGTGGCCGTGCATGGCAATGCGTGCCTTGGGCAGGCAGTGGTGACCAGGGACCTTTGTGCGTAATGAGGCCGGGTCGAGGGAGCTAGCGGGCGTGGCACAGTTATCGGCCGGGGCATAGACGACGACGACGACCGGAAAACGCGCCTGAAGGAGAGAGGGCATAGAGTTGCGTATAGCGCGCCTCAGGATACAGAGGACTAGACCAGGCAAAAGTGGCATCTTGCGTAAGCAACATGGTGATTGAGAAGCAGCTGGGGACCGCGGAGATTATCCATCCGCGCCGTATGACCCGGGCTACTAGTCATGTCGGGGTTTGTTGCAAAAGCGTCACTTGTGCCGAGTATGTAGTATACCAGAGTGGTGATGGGGGATACGGGAGCAGAGGGTGCAGGGCGGGCATAAGGGGAGGGGAGGGGGGAGGGGTGCGCCCCAGACGGCAACACCGGTCGGGGCCAGCAGTATGATTCGCGCCAGATGGTGCCATGGTTACTCGGAAGGGCCCAAAGGGGCAGACGACAAGCACGCAGAAGCAACAGGACGTGGAGCTGGCGTGCAGCACACGCATGGTAAATGCAAGAAGGGACGGCGAATCTTGCGGCGCCCCATTCGCTGGAGTGGAGCATGGTACGGGATTCCGCGCAGCAGTCTTACCGCTGCATTGGGCGTGCAAGGCAGCATACTTGGGAGAAGGGCCGCCGCCTGTGCAGACAGACCGGTTGGCGGTGGTGGTGGTGTGTGTGTGTCGAGGCCCATGGCTGGCGGAGAGAGGCGGGTAACAGGGCAACAGAGCAATGTAGTAGTAGTCGCAGCAGCAGCAGCAGCAGCGTGGTGGTGGTGGACGACGAGACGCGTCGCGTGGCTCCCTCACGGTGCTTGAGGGGGGGAGCGAGAGTGCAGCAAGGGATGGGACGGACCTGTGTCATGCGCGCCCATTGACTGCATCTGACGACGGCGACACCGCTACTGTAGAATACTACTTGGAAGTAAGTATGTGGGAGAGAGGACTAGGCGTGGTAGCAGCAGTAAGTAGTAGTTTTGGTGGTGGTGGTGGAGCAGCGGTGGCAGGCAAGTATAGTGCTCTCGTCAACAACTCTCCATCCATCCAGCATACACATACACACATACACACATACACACATACACACATACACACATACACATACACGCCCGGCCGGGGATGGGCTCACAGGGCTCACAGGCCACAGTGTCAGTGCACGGGTCCACTTCCGAGCGCGAGATCCCGCCGCTGTGGTAGCCGGAAAAGGCTATCCTCTGTTGGGTCCAGCTCCGAGCGTGTAGCGGGCTGCGTGCTGTCGTAGTGCCATGGACAGGCCACCTAATTAATAGCTGGCCTGTTAATGGCCTACGGCGCGGATGGGTCCCAGAGCTGCAAAGATGCAGATGGGTGGACCCGCCCTCGGACTGCCTCTTGCATTCATGCCGGCACGCCTGCGTGTGGTCGACCAGCCCCAGCGTCAGCGCCCGTTTCGCTTTTAAATACAGCGCCCATCGCACCTCGCTCTCGCCCTAGAGATTGAGCCTGAGATCCCGGCCTCTGACCCTCCCAACCTGCCCGTCGACACGACCTTGACGACATCATCACACACCACGACCGCCTTGACGACATCCACGCCCACGACCCATCTAGCCCGCCTGAATCCACCGCCCTCCTCTCTCCCTCCTTCTCGCCTGCCACTCCACCACCTTCCCACTTATTGCGCTCCCCCTCATCTCTGCTCTGATTGCCCGTCTGCAGCATCCACCCCGCCGTTGGCAGCGACACGTGAAGCGAGAAGTGGCCTCTTGTCCCATGATCAGCGCGGACACGGCGACCAAACGAGAAACCGCCCTAATTCCTGCAGCAATATACCGGCAGCCACCACCCTTCTAGCCAGTCCTCCCACCAACCCCAGCTCTCCTCGCCCCTGAGGCTGCTCAGCGACCGCCGTTCGCTCCAATGATCACGATGACATCGAATGGGTGAGTGTACCGCCTTCTCCCCGCTCCGTGCAACCCTCCCCAATTTCCCGGCGGCAATGCGCCCTGCACTGGCCTGGGGGCCAAGCTACCCTACCAGACGGCTAACCTGTGCTTTCCCCCCACCACAGATTGCCCGTGCCCGCTCAGAACAGCAACTACATGGAAAATGGCCGTTGGTATCATGGCTTCCGGAGAGGGCTCTACATGTATCCATGCGACGAGGTAAGCACCCGCCAAACAAACCCCACCACCATCACCACCACCGCCGCCCACCTTGCCCGCTTGCTTGACGCTGACGCGACACCACAGCCAGAAAAGGATCGCATGGACATCTACCACCAGTTTTTCGCCGTAGCACGGAGAGGCCAGCTGCATCAGGCTCCCGTGCCCTCAGAGCCACATCTGCAGCCCCGCATCCTCGACGTAGGTTGTGGGACGGGCATCTGGGCAATTGACATGGCCGAGTAAGTTCTGGGTTCTGCAGCCTGCAATTTGCGTCCCGCAAGGCTAACCACGACGGTAACAGCAAGTACCTAAACGCCGAGGTGCGCCCAATCTAGATCCGACGCATTGCTGCCAGACAGCTGACATGACTGCTGCAGGTCCTAGGATTAGATCTGGTCAACATCCAGCCCGAGAAGTATGTCCCACCACAAACAAGCTGCCTGCTTCTGAACCCGACACTGACGAATCCGCCTAGAATCCCCCCGAATCTGCGGTTCCGTGTACCACGCGATTACGAGAGCCCCTGGACGCTGGGCGAGGATTCGTGGGATCTGATCCATCTACGAATGGCTTGCGGCAGCGTCGAGAGTTGGCCAGAGCTGTACCAAAAAATATACACGTATGTACCATTGTCGCATTGCTTGCGCCTTCGTTTTCCGCATATGCTGACGAGCGGCCCAGTCACCTCAAACCAGGCACGGGCTGGATAGAGCACATTGAAATCGACATGGAGCCCCGCTGCGACGATTACACACTTCCTCCCGACAGCATGCTCCGCAAGTGGTATGGTTGGCTGGCCGATGCCACGCAACGAGCTTTCCGTCCCATCGCATACGAACATCGCACTCGGCAGCTCCTGCAGGCCGCCGGCTTCATTGATATCCAGGAGACTGTGATTCGCGTGCCCTACAACACATGGCCCAATGACCCGCACCAGAAGGATATTGGCAGGTGGTACAACCTGGGCTTGACCGAGGGCCTGGAGGCGCTAACCTTTGCACCTCTGACCAGAGTCTACCATTGGGACCTCAATGCCCACGTACGGCCAATCGTCGAGGGCGTGCGCAGGGAGCTCTGCAACCGGAAAATCCATGCGTACAACAACATGTAAGTAGCACGCCCGCTCCCGTCGTACCAATTGTTTGATGTTACTGGGCCGATGCTAATAGCTTGCTCTGCAGCCACATTTGGACTGCCCGTCGTCCTCAGCAATAGAAGCGGGCACGACGCTTGCAGCGGTGCGTTTGGCGGGGGATGGTGTGGCCAGCGGTGTGTGTGTGTGCGTGTGCCTACAATTGCACATTTCGGCGACACGACACAACCCGCGCCAGGCAGTATCGACTAGTCTGGAACCAAAGCCCCGGAAGTTCTACGCAGCGCCTCGATGCACCCACGCCCCGTTACGCCTAGACGTTATTGTTTTCTTCTTTTGGCGCTTTCTGGATGTTGTGTATTCGGCAAAACATTCTTCGCTTCCCTTTGGCCGAGGGAAGCTCAAGGCCGGGCCGATGAAGCCGTTTGAGCGAGCCGGTAAACATGGGGGCAGTTTTCCGCCCTCATAGTTTACCATGCCACATTTGTTACGAACTGTGCAGTTTGGCTGCATGACGTCTTTTTGCTATCTACCGCCCCATGATGCATGATGCGCATGGGAAAAACTGGAGTTTGTTCACCTTTTTCCTCTGTATCTTCTTTGTTTTACATTTCCTTGTTTGCGGCGACTACCCGAGTCTGGCGTTACGGCATGTTTAAGAATATGATACCTCGGTTTGCTTATGACCCAAAATTCATGTCGTAGTAGTGTATTTGTCGAGCTTGGGCCGGCAGTCTGAAAGGTTTCTAGCGTGGGTGTGTTTGGCATGCCTGGCGGCAAAGTGGCTCGGCATGACGGTATAGGCGGATGTTGGGCCGACGCCGGTTTCAACGTTTGGGGCCCTTTTTTTTATGGTTCTTCAGCTCGTTGACGAGCATAGTCATGTTTTTTTGTTAGCGGGCGACGGGGATGACGGATGTTTCCGACCTTGGACACGAATCAAGCAGCATACAAGACAGATATATAAGGATATATTGATAATAGCTGGCCGTGTAGCGGAGTCAAGTTTGTTCTAGGGTGATTTTGACAGTGTCTAGGCTGGCGTGTGCATGGGGGGGCAGAGGGGATTTGGGACCCAGGGTAGCGCGGAGGTGGACCTAGGCGTGGTGTGCATGTGCCTGCCACGCGTCGTTACCGAGTGGATGGATGTTTCAGGAGCCAAAAGGCAGCCATGGCATGAGGGCTCGAGGTAAGTTGGGCGCGTAGGGTTTCAAGTGTGGCAGCGGTGCCGTGGTGGGCAGAGGCCAGGATGGCGGACCGATGCCATGGCATGGAGAGTGCAAGCGAGCTGCATGACGGCAAACAGGTGTCTGCTAGGCAGTGCTGCACGATGGAACTGACATGCAAGCAAGATCTCCGAGACGGGAACTGACTCTTGCACGGACAGGCATGCCAAGGGGAGCAAGTTTATCGAGGCCAAGGGCTGTGGGTGGGTGTATTGTAGAGTAGTGAGTTTGTAGAGTATATGTTATGTACTAGGTGGGCGTAGTATAGGGCAGAGGGTGGTGAAGTTGTTTTGGCGATCCGGCGCTGTGGGTCGGACGAGGCTTCTCCCGTCGCCCGCGCCTCCCCTCCCGCGCGAACGAAGGAACAGACACAGACGCAGACACAGACACGATGACTGTTTAAAAAAGAAACAAGGTCGTGCAGGAATGCGCGGCGTGTTTCGCGCGCGCCTCTTTGGGTTGGCAACTGCACACGCAGACACAGACACGGATACGCACACTCGCACGCACACACGCACACACGCACACGCACACGCACATACACAGCCCTCGTCGCCGTCTCTGGTTGCAACGGCGTTGGCAGACGGTGGCATTCGCTCTGGGCTGCAATGATGCGTCATGCCCGCCATAGTTGCTGCTAGCAGAGTACGGGTGACATGGAGAGGTCACGCATGGCATGGGCGTGGATTGCCCCGCCAGCAGCCCGCCAGCGATTAGCCGGGCCTTCTTCGGACGTCCGCCCGGCCTGTAGAGTCAACACCGAGCCAGCGATCGTCGAGCCCTTGTATTCTGTGTGGGCGACGCGTTGGCGACTGGGCCGGGAGACATCGGCAGACCATCCCCACGGAGACGGCATGCCCACACCTTCTGACCGCCACTCTGCCCATGCTGGGCCTCCACCTCCGCCTCTCGTTGCTTTTGCCCACAACCGTGCCCCTAAACACCTCGAATCACAACAACTCCATGCTCCCACCCTTCTACACCACCGGTGTGACTTGCCAGCACACACAAAATGCCCATGTCTGCTTGCTGCCACTCGCCATGGCCTCGACTCCACCCCTTCACCTCTCCCGTACCAGCCCAGAGGTTCGGCCATCGACAAGCCCACCCCACGGTGCCACTGCCCTGCCTGTCCAGCCGCTCTTGCCTTACCACCCTGTCGGATAAACTTTGTCCACGCGCAGCGCATCATCGCCTCCTTCCAAATACTTACTCTCCCCATCCCAAGTAGCTAGACTACTGCGACGACGTATCAACGCCCACCGCTTGTCGCAGCAATTAGACTTCCGGCCGCTCCTACCGCGCAACCGTACAAACTCGTCTTGTAGCCGCCTGGTAAGTTTGCTGCTCCTCCTCCTCCTCCTCCTTCTCCTCCTGCCCTCCCCCGCGCCTAAATGATGACAAAGCTGGGGCCAGAAGAGTTCCTCTCTCCGGCTGCCCTCTGCAGCTGTGGGATTGCAGGAACCATGCTTTCAAACCCAGCAACTCTACATCTTCTCAACTTACCTGATACCAAATACCCCGCTACACCACTCGTTTCTGCCATTCTGTCATACATGACAAAGAACTTACCACCACTTAGTCAGGACCCGCTTTCGCCTCCAAACGACCGGCGCTACTAACAAGGCCATGGCAATGGTGCTATCCGGGCTTGGAAGTTGTGGCATTTGTCCAAAACTAGTCATGGAACAGGCCTTCGGACCCCTTCTTCCATAATCATCACCTAACCCGTTCTTGAACTAGGGAGTCCCATGGACAGGTTGAACATGTCTGGCAAAGGTCCGCTTTGGCGACCACTCCATGCTCGGCCCTACTCTCATGCCACTGAGGTACGTGTATATATTACCCTCTCTCTTTTCTTTTTCCCCTTGTGTCCAAGACGGACTATTTCTAGCCCCGGAAATAGTAGGTGTCCACCCTTTAAGTGTCCGGCAGATCCCGGGGTTTCATCCATGGCAATCGCATGTCTCGCTTTTTAGTAATGCGTGTGAGCCGGTCCCAGATAGTTCGTGTTCTACGGGACCTAGTGTTGTGCATCTTCTAGTCTATTCTTCTAGCGTGTGTTGCCGAATTATTTCGGCATGTAATTCCCTCTTGCCACCCACTAGTCTCTGACATGTTCGCTCTCGTAGTCATGAGTTGTGGGTCATGTTGATTTGTTGATTAGTATACTCGTTGGATTTAGTTTTCTCGGCAAAGTGTGAGTAAATTCACTAGTGTGGCTGTAGACTGCTTGTCGACACTAGGGCATAATGATCAAGTCACAAATTTGGTTTACTCCGGAGAATGTATTTGCCTGTGGCAGGTGAAGCATGTTCTCAGTTGCCAAGCTAGGAAAAACAAGGCAAGGTACCTTTTACTCTACTTCACCACCCGTACTGCAATTGAATAGACACTGGCCTTGTGTATGTGTATGGAAGCTACATCGTACAATTATGACTGCTCGTATTCATTCCCATGCTGTTTCCAGAAGCCATGTTACCCATGTGAATAATGTCGTGAGATGCCACCTTCGCAACTACTTTTCCCAACAGCAAAGAAGCAGCAGCTTCCCTTTGCTGCCACCTACCTCACGCATTCATGCTTCCAGGCAAGAGCATCTCTACACCAATCCCACTACTTCTACCCAGCCCAACTCTCTCTCTCTCCCATCTCTCCAAATCCCCAGCATCTACATCTGCATCATCATCATCACACCACACCACCGCAACCTCTTAACCCCCCAAACACCAATATTCTTGTTTCATCACCGTTGAAAAGCTATCAAAAGCATCGCCATCATGGTCATCCCGTCAGTACAACAAGCTCAAGCTACGCCTTCCGCAGTCCTAGTCACTGCAGACCAAGTCACTGCAGGCCCAGTTACCGCAGAGGTTGAAGAAGCGAGCTCTAAGCGCTTCATCGCAGAGCTGCTAACGCATGGTCTGCATCTCGTATCCAGCATCGTTGTACTGAGTATTGTCATATATCTCATCTATGTATATACGCATACGGGACTTGAGATGTTTTTGTCTATGCTGGTAGGATATCTTCATCCTCAGCCTCTACCTCGCAAGCTAACCTTTCCACCAGGCCTCCGTCGACATCGTCGTCTGCGTCTTCGCCCTCTGCCACCTCTTCCGCAAATCCTCGACGCCCGATCTCACCATCCCCATGTTCATCCTGTCAAGCTTGTGGCTCACAGCCTTCATACTTTCTTCTGTCGAATACGCTCACGAGCCGTGTATCCAGACTGAGGAAGAGGAATGGGTCAGTTGTCCGATCAAGAGGGCGCATATGGCGTTTGAGGCGATTGCTTTGTGAGTGCATCCCCGTGTTTGAATGTGCTGTTGCTGTGGGTGAGTGAGTATAAGGCTGATGTAAGGGTAGCTTTTTGAGTTTTGCAACTATGATGGTGGAGATTAGGAGGTGGAGGGGAAACAAGGGGGATGTCGAGGTTGTTGATGGGGGTGACAAGGGTGTGGGGAATGCAGTGGTTACGCCGGGGACGTCGAATACGGCTGTTTGAGGGTGCCATCAGTGTGGGTTAAAGGGAAAGTGATTAAGGGAGGACCTGGGTATGATGCGGAGATGTAGTTTGAACAATGGGATGGCACGTGTCGATGGACATGGTAGGGTTTTGGGGTGGTTTTCTGGTTCTTTCTTCTTTTCACATTGTTCTATCATGGATTGAGAGGCTGGACCTTTCTTGTCACTAACGAATCGATTAGTATTAGCTCATTCTCCTAGATTATATTGATAAGATTTCAATTCTCCCATTTCTTCCTCTTCCATTATATATTCTTCGGTGGTGCTGGGTGTTGAGTTGAAAATAGTCATGATTATCTGTAAAGCTACAATTGATACCTCCAACAATCACACCAATGTCCCCATTCTTACCTTTTTCCAGTAAACTCCCCTCATCAAATCCACCCCCTCTCCAAAAACTTCACCGGAATCTCCACCGTCTTGGCCCGCAAATACTCCATAGCATTCTTCCCCAACGTATCAATCTCAGAACTAGCATTATACCCCCGATCCAACTGCTCATGCAACAAAAAATGCACCGCCCAAATCCCCTCAATCTCAAACCGATCAATCCTACCCCCCTTGTACTCTTCGGGTCCCAACAGCGCCTTCACCCGCTCAACCGTCATAAACGAGCGCAACCAATCCCACTCATCCTCGTTCCTTACAAAAAACCCACAATTGCAATCTGCAGCTTTATCCCCCGAACGACCGGCAACTATAGCGCCCAGCGGCGCTTCAGCCGTCGGACCGAAGGCAGAAAGATGCACTGGAGAGGAAGTTTCGTACGAATCCTGGTGTTTAGGATACTGCCTGGTGACCTTTGGTGCCTCGAGCACCTTGACTTCTTTTTCGTCATACAAACTATGAACGCGCAACGCTAAATGCGTCTGCGGCAGCAACGCGACCCAATATTCATAATACGGCTTCGGGACCACCTGCCGCAGGTCGTTTGTGAGAGAGAGGCCGGGCGCGCATTGCAGGAAGACTTCGAGACACCATCGGTTAAATGCTTGGGGCATGTCTGGGCGCACGAGATCCGCGTCCCGGGTTTGGGCGAAGATGCGCAAGTCGATTGTGCTGGCGTCGAGGGAGCGCGGGTTCGGCAGCGAGGACCCGATGGCGTGGAAGCGGAGGGTTGTGAAGCGGGATGTGTTTTTGCCCATTGCTGTTTTTTTGTTTCGTCATCTGTCAGGATACATATATCTAGTAGGTAGTGGAAGGGGGGAAGGGAATAAATACCATATCGGATTTGATCCTCAGTTACTTTACATTTCTCGGCTATATCCAAACCGGCCATGTACATGTGCCATTCGCACTGCCAGCCTGCGGGGGCCGTAATGCCGATTTTCGTAGTGGGAGGCGGAGGGAGGCCTTTCACGCCTGTGACGCGGACGACGTCTTCGGAGACTTGGTGCATGCGGATGTGGGTTAGGTCGGCGGTGACGTCGCAGTTGTAATAGAGGGGGCCTTGGATTTCGTAGAGGAGTTGCGAGGTGCATGTTCCGATTGTTACGCAGCCTTTTTTTTCGTTTGTTAGTTAACTGAGATGTGTTTATGGGAAAAGGGAAAAAGAATTAAGGGTGAGGGTTTACCGCCGCTGTCTTTTTCCTTTGCAATGTTGAAGGTGCCGTCGTAGTCGACCTCCGCGATTGGGAAACCCATATTGACATGTTTCCCGGTCTTGATGAGATCTTTGAACATGGAGTAGTATCCTCCGCAAACGTAGCTCGAGCACTCGATTAAATGCCCTGCAACTAGTGCTCCGGCGAGTTCATCGAATTGATCGTTTCGCCAGTCGTGCCACCACCTATTAAACCTGTCAGCCCATCGCCCCCCCCCCCCCTTTTTCTCCACACATAAAATCAAGCCAAAGAAAAAAAAAGAGAGCACAAGAAAAACTTACGCAGCAGCCCCAACAACCGGCGCAGCATCCGCCACCCGTCCCGCAATAACAATATCCGCGCCCCCCCTCAACGCCTCCGCAATACACAATCCCCCAAGATACGCCTGTGCACAAACAGGTTCCATACCCCACTCCTCCAACTTCTTCCCATGCATCAAACTCTCAAACTGCTCTCCGTCTTTAATCAGATTCTGCACCTGCTCCGTCACATCATCGCCTTCTACCCACGCGACTTTCAAATGGCTCGCATCGTGTTTCGCAAGCATGTCGACGACGACTTCGGCGAGCAGCTGGGTATCGGACGCGCCCGCGTTGACGGCGAGTTTGGTTTTGTTGCGGACGAGATGGGGTATGGCGGGCTCGAAGCATTGGAGAAAGGTATCTGCGTACATTGCTGTTTTCATGCGGTCTTCAAGACTCTGGGTTCCATTTGTCGTGCTGGTTTTGGATGATTTTTGGTTTTTTACTTTGCCGCTGCCGTGCAGGGTCATTGTCATTTCGGAGAGCCAGTCGCCTATGTATAGCGCGTTAGTTTATAGTTTGCTGGAAGATTGATTTTTTTTAAGCGGGTTATGATACCCATTACTACGTCGACGTCGGGGTCACTGGCCATACGTGTTATGGCGGTTGAGCGGTCGGTGAAGCCGCCGGAGCAGCCTGCGATGCGTATGGCGCGTTTGCGGGTGGTGGAGGGAGACATTTTGAGGCGCTTTGGGTTTGGGGCCGTAGTTTCTTCAGAACAGACTTGCTCAGTCATGAGTGAGACAGATTGGTGGGAAGAGTCTGCTGAATGAGGATGGAAGGCTTTCGATGTTTATATACCAAGTCCTTTCGTATACACAAGGCAAACCATGCCTATTTTACGAGCTATTACATTTGAGACTGGCCAATGACGGCCTTCTACCCGTAGAGTTTTTGACGTCTCATCATCGTATCCTGGAGTGCATTGCGGATAATAATTCACGATGGAAGATGATTTCCCGACTGCGGCAGCGGGGTTGCGGGGAAGACGGGGAATATTGCACGACTTTCGAATGACGAGGCTGCTGCTTCTGTACTTTTGCTTTAGAGTTATGAGATTTGCATGACAGGCGGGGAATGCTATGAAAATGGGTTGCTTCTTCAGATCAAATCTACTCATAAAGTAACATCATACCAGTGGGAGCGCAAGAGGAAAGCAAACTGCACATGGAGTTGGAGAAAGTAAGATCGTAAGATGTAAACATGACTCGTGCTCTCGTTCATTGAAGGCTGACATGAATCGATAACATCACTAGCGTAGACCCTTCGGTTCGTACCATCTGAAAGTCCGGGGCCCGGGGTAATACCCGGGGGTCTTAGGTAAGTGTTCTTCTGATATGCTTCCGCAGCTACGATGGCCAACGCTTGGACATCTACTAGCGTATCTTCCTGTTCGTTTCCGTCAGCTTTGGTTTCATATTCGTCTTCCAACTTTTGTCATTTTTGCACGGCTAACATGAGGGTTCAAAATCATCATCTTCGCTATTCATCTTGCCAGATGAGTCGGAGTAGTTGGTTTTCATCTCTGTCCTCAGGTTAAGGGAAAGGGGGGTTGTAGCGTGAACGTGAGAGGTAAACACTCCATTGACATTTTGGGAGAGCTTGTTGATTGAGTTCATATGTCCCTACTGTTTGGTGAGCATGCAATACATTGCGATATTCTACTAGAGCGCCCATATATTTCGAGCGACCTGCAATTTTTCAAAGCCTCGCTGTGTGATAATGGAGAATATGGTGAGTAGTTGGCAAAGTCAACGTTTGGTATGTACTGAGAAAGGTGAGATTCAAAGGCTCTAGATCAGGGTGTCTCCGCGGTAAGTCACTTGGCAATTACTGCTAGGTGGACTTTGCGGGGAGGATGCATAAGTGTAGTTCGAAGATGGAGGTAAACTGTAAAATCTCTTCTGTGTTCGCGTCTCAGATATTGCAAGTGAATAGAATAGTGACAAAGGAGCCGTGTATAATGATGACTAATTAGTGTTGGCTTTCAGTTTCTGCATTTGGTTATTACAAGTGTAAGGCGCTCGGAAAGGCGCTTTGTAGAGGCGATACATGTGACTCAGGGTAGGGTGGCAGTTCCAGCCCCCAATGTACACCTAACAGAGCGGCCAATTGCAGGCCGGGTCGATCCCGCCCCATTCCCAGCGCTTGCAGCCATGGCGCTGAACGACTGCACCTCAGCCCGTTCAGCCTGATAGAGTCACCATGAGGCTGAGCAGCAGGTAACGTCTGCCTGCACGGCAGTGTCAGGCCTTCTCAACCATCGCTCTCCCTTCATACTTCACCGTCTGATTCCTCTCACCTTTTCTTGCTATAATCACTCTGAATGGCCCAGCTTCCTCGGTTGTCTCGCGAGGAATATACTGTAGGATGGGTGTGCGCGCTCCCGATCGAGCTGGCGGCGGCGCGGAAAATGCTGGACGAAGAGCACCAAGACCATGAGCGCGAGAGCGACGACATCGATGAGAATCTATACTACCTAGGATCGATTGCTGGGCATAATGTCGTGATTGTATGCCTACCAGCAGGACGCATTGGCAATAACCCTGCGGCGGTCGTGGCGACGCAAATGAAGGCTACATTCAAGGGAATCCGATTCGGACTGATGGTCGGCATCGGTGGAGGAGTACCCAGCCCGGCGGCAGACATCCGGCTCGGGGACGTGGTGGTCAGCCAGCCTGACAAGACGTTCGGCGGGGTGGTGCAGTACGATGCTGGCAAGGCGACAGCGAGCGGGTTCGAGCGGACGGGATTGCTTAACACGCCACCGCAGGTACTGCTCAGCGCGGTTGCGAAGGTGCGAGCAAATGAATTCCTAGGTGAGAGCAGGATGTTAGAGCACATGAGCAAGCTGGAGCGCATCCCTAGGTTCCAGCGAAGCCAGGCGGGGCCCGACGTTTTATTCGACGCAAGATACGACCATGAGGGTGAGCAGACATGCGAAGGATGCAAGAAAGATCACCATAAAACTCGGAAGCCACGCGACGAGGAGGTCATGTCTCACTACGGGACGATCGCGTCGGGGAACCAGGTGATGAAGAACGCGGCAGAGCGAGACAGGGTCAGCGCGGAGCTTGGTGGGGTGCTATGCTTCGAGATGGAGGCGGCGGGCCTAATGAACAGCTTCCCCTGCCTCGTCGTTCGTGGCATCTGCGATTATGCGGACTCGCATAAGAATAAGAGGTGGCAGCCGTATGCTGCGGGAATTGCGGCGGCGTATGCAAAGTATGTGTTGTCCGTGATCCCGCCAGCTGCCGTAGCGAAGACTCGGACAGCGGAGGAGGCAATTCAGAGCGCACGGAGTTAGTGTAGCCATTCTGTTTCCTATATTGCAGCATGGCTAATAGTGCGATAGAGAAAGCAATCTACTCCATTCCGTTCCTCCTCAACAAGTCCTTCGTTGGGCGAAAGACTGAGCTCAATGAATTGATGCAGAAACTCATGGTCGACAAGGCGTGCTACCAGATGTCGATTGTTGGGCTCGGCGGGATGGGTAAGACACAAGTGGCGCTCCAGTTCGCGTACATGGTGAAAGAGCGCTGGTCCGAGATGTCCATTTTCTGGATGCCTGCGCTGAGCATGGAGACGTTTGAGCAGGCGTGCGCTGAAGTAGTACGACTGCTCGGCGTACCCAAGGCAGCCGATGGCGAGGACGATGTGAAAGAGCAGTTTAAGCGGCATCTGGGCACGGTGCGGGCAGGGAAGTGGCTGTTGATTGTTGATAACGCTGACGATGCAGATATTGTTTTCGGTGGTGCTCACTCGAAGGGCGTTGTCGACTACTTGCCACAGAACGAAGAGGGTGTGATATTGTTCACCACACGAACGCTAGACGTAGTAGGGAAGCTGACAGGCAGCCATGTGCTAGAGCTTGGCGCCATGGACCGACAAGATGCAACGACCTTTTTGACTAAATCGCTGATCAACAAGGAGCTCCTTAGCGACAGTGCCGCCACAGCAGACTTGTTGGATGAGCTAGTGTGCCTGCCTTTGGCGATTGCACAGGCAGCTGCTTACCTAAACAGGAACAGGATGTCTATCCAAGAGTACTTGCGGCTACTACACAATACGGAGCTAGACCTTGTTAAGCTTATGAGCAGAGAGTTTTGTAATGACACCCAGTACAAAGGCACGGAAAACGCAGTAGCTACAACATGGGTGGTGTCATTTAGTCAGATCCGCGCACGCGATAAGGCAGCTGTGAAACTTCTGTCTTTCATGTCGTGCATTGAGTGGAAAGCGATACCGCGGTCTATTCTGCCGAGAGTGCGGTCCAGAGTGCGGATGACAGACGCTATTGGCACGCTCTGTGCATACTCTTTTCTAACAAGACGAGAGAATGAAGACGAGTATGACATCCATCGACTGGTACATCTAGCAACTCGGATCTGGGTTAGGCAGTACGGCGACACGAGAAAAGTGGTGGAGAAGGGTATCAGACATTTAGTCCGCATTTTTCCCTCGAACGACTATGAGAACTGGAAAAAATTAAGGGCGTATTTGCCACATGCGCTGCGGCTGCTCAAAGACAAGCAAGGCTATGTGGTAAAAGAGAGGTCAGAGCTGTGTCTCTTAGTAGGACAATGTCTGCGGGCTGACGGGAGGATCCAAGAAGCAGTGAGATGGCTTAAGAAGTCGTGTGAACAGAGGAAGACACTCGACAAGCGCAATCCGAAGCGGCTACGTTCACAGCATTCGCTCGCTATAGCATACGAGGCCAACGGACAGGCTAAGAAGGCAGTAAAGCTGTTAGAACACGTTATCAGAATACGAGTAGAATTGCTCGCAGAAGACCATCCCAGTCTATTAGCGTCGCAGCACGTACTCGCAATGGCATACGAGGCCACCGGACAGGCTAAGAAGGCCATCGAGCTGCTAGAGCACGTTGTTAGGACAAAAGCAAAAATGCTCGTAGAAGACCACCCTAGTCTATCAGCGTCGCAGCACGTACTCGCAATAGCATACGAGGCCAACGGACAGGTCAAGGAGGCCATCGAGCTGCTAGAGCACGTTGTTAGGACAAAAGCAAAAATTCTCGTAGAAGACCACCCTAGTCTATCAGCGTCGCAGCATGCGCTCGCACGCGCATACCATGCCAACGGACAGGTCAAGGAGACCATCGAGCTGCTAGAATATGTGGTTGAAATGGGACAGAGGATCTTTAGATCTGATCATCCTGTTCGACTGACATCGCAGCATGAGCTTGCACGAGCATACCGCGCCAACAGACAGGTCAAGGAGGCCATCAAGCTGCTAGAACATGTGGTTGAGATAGGACAGAGGATCTTTAGATCCGATCATCCCGATCGACTATCATCAGAGTGGGAGCTCGCCACAACATACTATGACAACAAACAGGTCAAAGAGGCCATCGAGCTGCTGGAACATGTAGTTGGAATAGAACGGAGGATTCATAGGCCCGATCATCCCGATCGACTGGAATCTGAGAGCCTCCTGAAATCTTGGCAATGTGAGTTGTCGCCGAGCTGATGTTGAATGGATTTTCATTTGTCTTGATTAGCTTTTTTCGCCTATGCATTTTCCAAACGCGTTGGTAGCGTTTGATAGAATTACCTCATGTTTAAACAATTCTCGTCTCGATTAACACGGGCTACGTAAAAGCATTTTGGTATCCTCAAGAAAACCCACTACGCCATCCATCTGTAGTTCACATTGCTTTTTCCGTCTATACATGTTGCACTTTGGCCGTGCATTTACGATATTGAAAAAATGTGTCCCATGATCTATATGAGTCATTTCGCATACCCATCTATTAAGCACCAAGATACTACGTATCATCATTAGAACTTGGCGTCGTAAAAGAAAAGATACAAAAGCAGTCTACGTAATGGCCTTCTCGAAAACCCTACTGCAACTAAACCACACTATTAGGTTCTTAGTTACTATAGATAATTTGTGCCATATTATGCATCCGTATCCGGACTACTAGCGCAGCTCAAGACAAGAGCGCTGAACAAAAAAGAACCCGTACATGTATTTGCGCCTATACTCCTTTTGTGTGCACACCGCGTGCACATGCATTTCATTTCCCACCCGTGATGTTACTTTTCCCCCTTGGGCTTGGAAAATTACAATTTTTGGAACATAAAGTGGTCGTGCTTCTAAAAAAATAAAAGGCGTCATAGCTGTTGCACTTTCCGCTGAGGGCAAAGCAAATGGTGGGCGTTGCTGTCGAAGTTGACGTTGCTTGAGTGTTGAAGGTTTTTCCGGAACAGGTGTCCAGCTAGATCCGGATTTAGGGCCTTACAGATACTAGCACGCGACAGGGGGGTCCACTCGGCAGATGGGATGAGCCCTGACCAGCATCGTCTCTTGTAACTGATGACTGATTAATACCTTAAGGCTTTATGGAAACTCTGATGCGATATCGGTAATACCGGTGATTTCAGTGAAGCGCTGCTAGTTGCCATCGATTCGGAAGCATTCGTCCTTGTTTCAAGCTGAAGTTGAGATCCGACGACCATGAGGGAAATACGCAGCCCCTTCTTTTTCAACACATCCACTAAGTTCTGTATCTGGATAGTAAACTTGGTGGCAGCATCCAGAAAATGCTCGTAATCAGCATCGCTCAATGACGCCTGTGCCAAGTCCACTTCGATTGCAATTTCCGTTCGCGCTGTCTGGATCATACCGAGCGCCTCGATGGCACTGCAAAACCGTTGCTCTTCAATCTTCCGGTTATCGGGTAACAAAAAGGCAAAAAGAAGAGGCTGAATCTGTATCTGTAACCGTCGTGCATAGACGGCTGGGGTCATGCCAAAACCAAAGCCATCCGTGCTGAGAAATGGCTCAAGCAGGCACATCTCGTGATGAGCAAACTTGAAAGTGCGTGTCCAATAATAGCACTCTAACATTTCCCGTGCAAGATTGAAGTCCCAGCCCTTTTTGCTCAAACAGGCTGAAACAGGGTCTTCGATCCATCGGTATGAGAATTGACCGCAAGGTTCCCGGATCAGGTGAGTGAAGCGGTACGTCCTGCCCAGGGCAGCGCGGCGCACAATTACTTCATTGTCATAGCTTCCTTCAAGACAGAAAATGTATATGCGATTCCGGAGCTCACGTGGCAAACGTGAGAATATGTTCATAACACTGCTGTCTCTACTAGGGGGACTGGCCGTCCTGTGCATGCTTCTGGTAAGTCAGCATCAGCCAGAGGATTCAAAAGTTGTCTTGCTCTCACTGTTTTTCAGAATGAATTGGAAAGGAATCGTTATTCGTTGATGCGTGTGACTCGTGCATGTTGTTCCGTCGGAGTATAGTCACCGATGATAATATGCTCGCACACCCTTCCTAACGCAGCCGTTGAATAGATGCCGTCCGTTCTCTGAGCCAAGGCAAACCGTTCAGAATTCGTACCACCCCTTCTTCTACCCAGTCCACAGCGAGAGCTGGCGGCGACGCATAATTAAGTAAATTTTGGGAGGTGAGCCTCACGCCAGATCACGGGAAGCACTAATCTGCAAAGAATGCCTTTTCGCGAGTGGTTTTCCAACACATTTGCGCCTAGTCGGTGCCCTGCAACGCAGTAATCCCGATTAGGAAAGCATTGCGCGAAGCACGGATACTACGGAAGCCCGAGAACAAGGCTGATCCTACACAGATTACGCTCTGCTTGACAGTGCGGAATTCACAGTGGCACCGAAAACCCCATCCAAGAGGGCCCGAAACAGCCCAAGACTTTTATCGACGTCTTGACCTTCCATATCGTGTGGTCGCCCCAGCCTCGGTACTACGAGGGGCGTATTTTATTTTTGGTCCAAGTGGCCCCAGTATGACAGTGTCAGCCAAGACTGGTTTGCGAATACGATGAATGCTAGTAAGGCCACATGTTTGCGCATACTCAACGTCTTATCCACGCCACCAAACTGCCTGCATGTAGCTAGTAGCATTGCCGCCATGTCACGTGCTAGTACCCCACATTCCTAGGCCCTGGCTTACACCCTACAGGCTGCATGCATCCGATCTGTCATCACTCTGCAAACCCTACAACATTGGTTCGATACTGTCTCAAAGAAGAGATGTGCATTCTCCTCAAGCACCCATCGTTACCCTCTCTGCTCACCTCTCTACAATCCCAACCCTGTCACACCGCCTCCCGGCACTGAGCATGTACAGTTCGCCCCCCCTCCCCAGCACGAATCCAGACACACACTGATGATTCAAGGGCCAATAAACCCGAAACTCATTGTCAGTGGGCATAAGCGCTCGACCTAGTAACATACCGTCTGACACAGCATACCATGGCTGCGCTGTAAGTATGCAGGTAAGAAAGCGCTATTCTAGGTTCCTATTCGGGCCCTTCGGGCACCGCTCCAACAAAATGGTCTAGTACGAAAATTTCCCCGAACAGATGAGTAGTAATCAGACTGGATAACGAGAGAAGAAAAAAATTCTTACAATGCGGTGGCGGGGCTACTGGTGGGAACGGTTGGCCACGGGCGAGATCTACGACTACAAGGTGGCGATCGTCAGATTGTGTTGTGGTTGTCGATGATGACCATAATGCAGCTGCTATAGGTATGGGTAGGGGGCTGCCTGTATCAACCCGCCTACCTACCATATCGGCACACCGATATCTTTTTACGTTTATCCGGACCGCGATATACTTTTACCCGATGAGCCCTTGAGCCGCCTCCTGAATTCCATGGATGCTTTCTGCATCTCCTGGCCTTTCCCATGACCCTTTGTTCGGCATTGCTGCCGCGACGCGGGCACTGGCTTCGGGAAGACATGTCGTCTGTATAGCAAGATGCATGCGTACTAAGCGCTTCGGCCCGTGAACCGCCAACTTGGCATCAAGGCTGCTGATCTTACGCTCGAGAGACGGGTGTATACGAGCGGGATGGAACCGTTGGAGACGGTCTCTTGAACGTTTCGCGCTCTCGTCATCCAAGGATTTCATGCGTACTGCCCGCATGTCTGATCAAAGGGGCATTTTCCCGTTGCCTTTAGGGTGCGTTGTCGATTGCCAACTGTCAGCTCTTTCTCTAGTCGTCTTACTCTTGTGGCGCTCACTTCAGCCTGTATTGGTTTTTTATCCTCATTTTCGTCGCAAATTCGCTTTTCAGGCGCCCATAATCCACAGTCGGCGACCTCCACGAACAAATAGTGTGTGACTGCGCAGATTTGTTGGTTTAGCTGATAAGTAAGCCGTGGTGGGGCCATGGGGGCCATGGGGGCCGAAGGATCGATCTCTTGACCGATGAGATGGTTGGTTTGTACAGCGTTGGATTATACGAACAAGTCCACACACCAGGGCTGTGGGATTGAGATTGATGACTACTCTGTAACGCATCGGATCTTTTCATGGATGTCATTGAATATCCAGAAGTAAGGACCAAATTTTCAATCGACCTCACCTGCAGCCGCCATTGGTCACCACTTTGGAATAAGATGAGATTTTCTAGGCAGAAGTGGACACCATAGACGCTAAAACTTCTGCCTCGAGACAATGAGATACATTTGGGGCCTACAAAGCCCTATGGTGGCCTTTTGCTGCACTCCTGTTCATCCATGGCGCAAAGCTAAGAACTGCAGTCGCGGTTCCTGGTCCCGATTAGGCTCGAATCCAGGCAGAGCCAGCCTCGCAATGGATACGATACGGCCGTTTCGGCAGTGCCATGTGTTTTGCACATGTTCTGGGCCCTCTCAGAATTTCAAGAGACCATATCCCAATCGTGTTAATGGCGCATCACCAATCCCATCCCAGGGACGCTCAAGGCTGTCGCTGCTGGACATGACTCTTTCACTTGAACGAAATGAGATCTGAGGCTCAATGATAGAATAAAACGATCCTGCGCAGGATTATTGGGAGCCTGGAAACATGAGTGGATAGTATATCCTATTTACCGGATCCTAGGCTAAGTCACTAAACGGCGACTTGGGAAGCCACGATGTAGGGGCCGAAGAGTAGGAAAAGCGTGAGAAAAGATATACAATACATGGAAAAGGTGCCCGGCTTACTGTGTCGATGATCTGATCGCCCGGTTCCATCAGCACCTAAATCCTCTCACCTTACGCCTGTTTTCAACAATCGGTATGACACGGAGTAGCAACAGCGATGGTGTGTACATTATTGGTTTAGGCCACCAGTACCCCGAGTATGCAATCGGGCAGGAAGATTTTGAGGGATACCTTCACCGTCTATACCCTGAACACGTCTCTTCACCAGCGTCAGTACAGACCAGAATCTTAAGAACATCTTCTCACGTATACAGTGTGCAAAAGCTTATTGGGTTCAACGCAAAGACGCAAATATCTTCCCGTCCGACAGTCCTTGACCACACCAAATGGACGCAAAAAGATGCCACGCCACCAACTCTTGGTTCAATATCTCATGACTTTCGTACCGTGGGCGTCACTCTCGCCGCTTCTGCGTGTGAAAAGGCCATGCGGGAAGCAGGAGTTGGGCCACAAGAGATAACACACATTGTTGCCGTGACATGCACCAACTCTGACAATCCAGGCTACGACCTCTTTGTGTGCGAGAAACTCGGCCTGGGGACAGACGTTCAGCGTGTTCTCGTCCAGGGCGTGGGTTGCGCAGGAGGTCTATCAGCATTGCGAGCAGCAGCTGACATTGCTGCCGCTGCATCGCTCAAGAGACGAAAGGCACGAGTCCTCGTCGTCGCATGCGAAATTTGCAGCCTCTTCTTTCGGGCAGAGATACAAAACATCTTGCAAGGCGGAGATGAGACACTGCGTATAGCACCCGCATTGTTCTCTGACGGCGCTGCCTCACTGGTAGTGTGCAACGAGCTTGCATTGGCTCCGTCTCAAACCCCTGTTTACCAACTGAGGGAATGGGCGAGTATGGTGGCGCCGGGGACGTCAAGCTTCATGTCGTATAATTTTGGGAAAAACGGTGGGTACACTCTACTCTCTACGTGACCACTAGTAAACTGACCCTGATACCAGGATTGATAGCTACCATTACGAAAGATGTTCCCAAAGCAGCAATCAGTGCTATCGCACCGATTTTCCAACAACTCTGCAACGCATCCGACGCCGGTATTAGTAATAGAGCACCGTTGCCCCGGATGCCAGCAGACTTTGATTGGGCAATTCATCCCGGGGGTGCTGCCATCTTGCACGGCGCGAAAGACTCGCTCGGTCTTACTGACGACCACATCAGAGCCTCGCTCGACGTCTACAAACACTACGGCAACTCTTCGAGCGCATCTGTACTCATCGTACTCGACAAAATGAGACACCTGGGCCCGGGTAGAGACGATGTGGTCGCTGTCAGCTTTGGGCCAGGGTTGACAGTGGAAATGTGCATGATGACGCGATGCCACGCCTCAGATCCCCGTATGTCAGTTCATCGACGTCAAAGAGCGTCTTCGTTTTGGGCAGCGCTACACTCGAAATTTTCGAGGAGGAATACAATACATCATCGGGGATGATGGAAAATGTAAGTTAGTTGTTCATATTATGGAATTACATCTACTGAGTTGGATGTTGTACATATCGCTACTTTGTAATAAATAAAAGTAACATGGCAAACGAATCGGCAATCACAACATCGCTTTCAACAGCGTGAATGAAATGTATTCACAGTACTACTTCACACAAATACACATGATAGTCCAGAGAAAGAGTCCGATGTTGCATGGAACTTCGTGGAATTGATCCGCACAATAGTGGATCACGATGCGGAATCGGGCCCGGACCCGCGGACATTGCGGAGTCCGGGAGAGATGGACACTAGTGATTGGATCTCCCGCGCAAACCAGTGACGATGTTGAACAATTCACACAACAAAAGTCGCATCAAGAAAACACGCTTGAAACCCCCCTCTTTCCCTCTTTTTGTTCCTTTTCGACGTTGAAAAAAAAAATTCGACGGCAATATGGAAAAGAGTCTGACAACAGACCCAACCCAGCAACGCGACACACCCGAGAACCAGCCATACAAAGCAACTTGCTACGCGGAAAACCCTGCATTGCAACATAGCGACAATCAAGACACTACTAAACTATTGCAACGAAAATGGACATCATGGTTCACACAACGCAGCTCCGATCCCCCCTTTCTCCTCAAATATAGAAGTTCAGATAGTTTTATCATCGGGACTGTAGCTTTGGCTGTTTTTACCGTAAGTCATCCTCATCCTCATCACCATTGCTGCATCAAAATCTCAAAAAATAAAAATAAAAATAAAAATCTACACTATCAAACGATAAGGGCAAAAAACTAATCCATGATTTTTTTTTTAAAAAAAAGGACATGTTCCTCTACGGCGTCATCGTCCCCGTAGTCCCCTTCGCCATCTCGTCGCGCAGCCACGTGGATGAAGGCAGAGTGCAATACTGGGTCTCTGTGCTCGTGGCCGTGTACGGAGCGTCTCTTCTTGCATGCTCGCCTGTGTGCGGATGGCTTGCTGACCGCGGGTCGTCCCGGCGCATGCCGTTGCTTGTGGGATTGCTGGTTTTGCTGGGATCGACCGTGTTGCTGAATCTTGGCAATTCGATTGGGGTGCTGATTACGGGGCGTGTGTTGCAGGGTGCTTCGGCGGCTGTGGTGTAAGAAGACGTCTTTTTGCTTTTTTTTGAGAAAAAAAAGTCTTATTTAATTGGTGAGAGAGGGCTAAATGACTGACCATATTTGCAGGTGGGTTGTTGGGCTTGCGTTGTTGGCTGATACCGTGCCTCAGGATCAGCTTGCCACAGCGTCCGGGTGGCTGTCGATAGGTATGTCACTGGGCATGCTGATATCACCGCTTCTGGGGGGCATCGTGTATGATCACGCTGGTTACAATGCTGTTTTCGGCATGAGCTACGCACTAATTGGGCTGGACGTGATTCTTCGACTGCTGCTTGTGGAAAAGAAGGTGGCGGTAAGATGGGATGCCAGTGCGATAGGACGGCGACCAGTCGAGGCGCATGACGGCCTAGGTGGAGACGCTACACCACAAAGTGAGGGATCAGATGCTTCCAAAACGCTAGCCCAGTCGGAAGCAGGCCAGCTCGAAATGCAGCGGCAAGAACCGCCTCGACGGCGGCTGCGGGATCGCCTTCCTCCCGTTGTATCACTGCTCTACTCCCGACGCTTACTCGCCTCGTTGTTCTGTGCACTCGTACAGGCGCTTTTGTTGACGGCATTCGACTCGGTTCTTGCCATTCACGCTGCAAAGACCTTCAACTGGACAGCAACGGGTGCGGCGCTGTTGTTTCTTCCCATTGCCATTCCGAGTTTTCTCGCGCCATTGTGGGGATGGCTGTGCGACAAGTACGGCGGACGATACCTTGTCATCATCGGGTTTTTATGCGGGTGTCCGCCGCTGGTGTGCTTGCGTTTTGTCACGGAAAGCACGATGAGGGACAAGGTACTTTTATGTGCATTGTTAGCCATCGTGGGTCTCACCATTGGCATGACGTTTCCGCCCGTCATGGCTGAGATTTCCGCCGTGGCGGAAGCAAAGGAGAGGAAGTTGATTGCAAGCGGACGGCCTGGGTTTGGGAAAGGCGGTGCATTTGCTCAAGCTTACGCATTGTTCAATATGGCTTTTGCTGGAGGTTCCATGGCCGGGCCTTTGCTAGCTGGGTTCATTGTTGAAGCACATGGGTGGGCGACCATGGCAGCGGTACTGGGAGGACTATCTGCCGTAGCCGCAGTACCTGGATTTCTGTGGTTAGGCGGTTGGATTGGCGGGAAGCTGTAAGTTTCGTGGTGAAAACAATATACGTATACTGGACGAGTGTATGGATTGTAGAGCATGTCAGAGCATGCTGGCAACATGCACTTGGTGAAGCTGACGTGCTCAGCCTCCAAAAAATGGTATTATTCTACCTTGAGCAGTACCATAGCATACTACCAGGTCAGGTCCGAGGTACAGACTCCTGGCTGCAGCGCTCATGTCCGGTTCAACATGCGCGCACGTGAATCCGGGGGATTGATGGCCGGTTGGGTTGCGGGCCTTTCCCGTCGGCCGGTTGGCTCGCATGCAATGGAAGCCATCACACGACCGGTGATGATTGACGTTGAAAAGTGGCATTTGGTCACATGGCGGCTAGTCTGGGGTATACTGGGGCATTGTGGGGTACCTCGCCCCGGCCACCCGCTATACTCTGACTACTAACCACCTTTGTTCAGGGTCCAGGCAGACTACACAACTGACCGCCATGCGGCAACGGCAAACTACTCACGGCCTTAGGCTGCGACAGACCACTTCTGCCCTGCTATAGGTCAGGGTAGAGATCAGATGACGGAGCGGAAACTCACCCGCGCCCTTGCGCCAAGCCGAGGTCCATGGCAGATGTACCTCCATGACGACCTGGACACTGTCATTCGCGACGTCAAAAACGCCATGGAACTCCCAAGACTCCGCTTCGACGGCGATCAGGTCGGAAGCCGAGCGATGATGTGCTCGTATCGACTCGGCACATGTGCTACACTGAAGCCCCGATTCTAGCGTACCGGCGCGTGTGTTCTCGGCAGAGAGAACAACGCACGAGCAAGTGCATGTCAACATCACGTGCCGACAACCCTGTCTGAACGTGCAGGGCCGTGTGACTGCATCACCGTTGGAAGCAAGATGAAGGTGTAGTTCTCGGACATACCCACGTCTGCCGCCAAGTGTCGCTTGCAGGCATGACCTGCTACGTCACCACCCACTGCTGCCCTCTTCACACTGCGTGAAATCCCCATGTTGTGCCCGAAGAGGCATTTTTCATGGTTGCTCCAGCTTTCCCTCTCATCACCCGGACCCGTGGCCAATCATGTCGCGAGCTCCCTGGCTGATTCACACATCTCCACTCCGCACAGACTCGAGGAGCAAGAGACCTGCCTATTCTGCTCTCCAAGACTCCCCCCCGCTCACTTGCGATCGTCATGTGCAGTCCAGGACTACAGCCATTATAGTTCCCGCGAGCGAACCATGGTCGCTATTGCAACGACCTGGCTGGGTATGTTGGCATTTCTTTGTCTGCTCACGCTCGGATTCAGTATAAAAGTGACCTCCATGACCGCGTCTTGAACTCTCCACTCCAGCAACTCATCCTGACAACACAATCTGAGAGCAACATCATCTTTGCAACATGATTCTCACCAAACTCGTTTCAACCTTGTCGCTATGCGCTGCTGTCCTGGCTGCTCCTGCGTAAGTGATGCTTCCAGCGCATCACTGCCAAAACAAACATCACATTGTGTCCTTGCTGACTTTTCTCTAGCCAGCAGAAGCGTGCAGTCGGCTTCAACTGGGGATCTGAGAAGATTCGCGGTGTAAACATTGGTGGATGGTTGGTCCTGGAGCCGTAAGTGACATGGGTTGTGATATGCTTTGCGACATCTGCTAACCTCCTTCCACAGCTGGATCACCCCATCAATCTTCGACAACGCAAACCGAGGCCGTCCACAAAATGACATTGTTGACGGTAAGCTGAATGACTTTCATATTGAGACTGATGCTAATAACGCGCAGAGTACACATTGGGTGAAAAGCTTGGCAGCCAAAATGCCCTAAACATCCTTCGTAACCATTGGGATACTTTCGTCACCTGGCAAGACTTCAACAAAATCAAGCAGTCGGGTTTCAACGTTGTCCGTATCCCCGTTGGCTACTGGGCATACGATACCTTTGGCTCGCCCTACGTCAGTGGAGCAGCTGTCTACATTGATGCTGCCATCGACTGGGCTCGTAGCCTGGGCTTGAAGATTATCATTGACCTTCACGGTGCACCTGGATCCCAGAACGGGTTTGACAACTCTGGTCAACGCATGGATCGCCCCACGTGGCAGCAAGGCGACACCGTCCGAAGGACCCTTCAAGTTTTGCGCACAATCTCTCAGAAATACGCACAAACGAGCTACCAGGATGTCATCGTCGGTATTCAACTGCTCAACGAGCCCGCACTTTACAACGGCCTCAGTCGTGATGTTCTTGCACAGTTCTATCGCGATGGCTATGGCCAAGTGCGCGAGGTTTCCGACACGCCGGTCATCATTTCTGACGGCTTCACTGCACCAAACTCCTGGAACGGCTTCCTCACACCCTCAGATGCCAACGCCCAGAATGTAGCCATTGACAACCACCAATACCAAGTTTTCGACTCTAATCTGCTCAAACTGTCACCCGCTGGACACGCCCAACAGGCCTGCAGGAACACTGGCGCATATGGCGGTGCAGACAAGTGGACCTTTGGTATGTTCAAGAAGATGCGATACAATAAGCCCTTACTGACTTATATGTTGCAGTTGGAGAGTGGACTTCCGCCATGACGTGAGCATGATCCTTTCACACATAACACAAAAAGCACATAAACTGACTGCCGGCAGGGACTGCGCACGTTACTTGAACGGCTACGGCCGTGGTGCCCGCTATGATGGTACCTACTTGGGCAACCCCAAGTTGGGCGAGTGCGGCTGGCGAAACGACCTAGCGCAGTGGCCCGCCTCTTATAAGGACGACTCCAGGCGCTACATCGAGGCCCAGATCCGCGCTTTTGAGTCGACGACCCAAGGCTGGTTCTGGTGGAACTTCAAGACTGAGGGTGCGGCTGAGTGGGATGCTTTCAGGCTCATCGACGCTGGTGTCTTCCCCGCCATCAGGAACGGACAGGTAGAGTACAAGTTTGGCGCTGCCTGCTAGAAACATGGCTTGACACCTGGCTTAAAATTTACTTTGTTGCACCTCTAGAAGGGGCTAGACGGGCTGAACGCAATCGCAAAGGAAAAGCAAAGCAGGCATGTGTGATTGCATAGAGGAGGCCTGACTTTTCATTGCTCAGTTCGATTAACAACTTATGATGATTTGGAATAACGAAGTACACGATAGCAATGAGATTTTTTTTTCATACACTTTTTGTGCAAGCACAAGATAAGCTAGGGGTGGAGGGCGGGGCAGGGAGAGTACATAATTATGCAATTGTGACCGCGGACGATGGCTAGAAGCAAAAAAAGCAAACTAAGCATGGGTGGGTGCTGTAGTAACACCTGGGGTGGGAGAAGAAAACCACAATCAGTGGTACCGCGTCTGCCAGTCCAGTACTATCGTACCACACTTTTACACCCACATCCCACTCCTGACACGCCTATGACCCGTGCCAATGCACCCAAAAAGCTGAGAATCCCCTTCCCCACACTTTCGCCCACCAACTATATCTCCGTGTATACACACCCCAGATTCTTCCTTCCCCAGAATCCCCAGTAAGACAACCCACCCGCCCCTCCACCATTTTCGCATGTTACGTGCAGAATCGGCGGCAAAACAAGCGCCGAAAAGGATAGCCTGGGCAACCCAAGAGTCTGCCGTTTGCCGTTGCGGCGTGTTAAGCCTGATTGCGGGTGCCCAGCGCTGCAGGCCAAGCGTTTGTGGCTGCGCCTGTGTGCCCCCTCGGCGGACATGGGGGCTGGCCTTTTGCCTGGAGTGGGCTGGATTTGCCCTGTTGAACACCGTGTTACAGTAGGTAAAAAAGTAGTACGACTAGTAGTGCGGGGAAAACGCGGAGGAGGGGGAGCTGAAGCAATGTATGCCAATGCTTGCCAAGTTTCTGATTACAAGGGGGGGAAAGGGAAGTACAGCGGATGGGGGAGGGACTGGGTGGGTTGTAATGCATTGCCCGCCCCTCCCAGGTATATAGGACTTTCACCTTCCCCAGCTTCCTCAGCTCTTTTTTCTTTCTTTCTTTTACTTCTTACTCAATTTCCCCCTAATTCCTCAATCCTTTGATCTTTGAGAGGGATCTATAGTAGGAAGGTTGGAAGAGTCTTAGAAACAATGACGGAAAAGCAACATCCACCCGTCGTCGAGCCCACCGACGAAAAACCAGCAGTCATATCGCACATTGACGACAAATCCGAGATCGGGGCTGAGAAACATGCGTCGGCGGCTGCGGACTATACGGGTGCAGAGCGCAAGAGTGATCCGGAGGAGATTGCGTTGGTTAGGAAGATTGATTGGAGACTTATGGTACGTTCGTTCCCCTTCACCCTCGTATACAATTGCCTTTGTTGGGCTTGTTGCACAAATGCAAAAGCAGAAGAGAACGAGAATGGGTTGCTGATTGGAAATGCGAATAGCCAACCCTAATGGTCATGTACTTCCTCAACTACGTCGATCGCAACGCCATCGCACAGGCCCGTCTGAATAACCTGGAAGAGGACCTGGGCATGACGGGCGTGCAGTTTAATACTTGTGTTAGCATGTTAGTTACCTCCTTCCTTCAATTACCAAGAGAAAAGAAGAAAAAAACAGACTCATTGATGTTCCAAACACAGTCTCTTCGTCGGCTACGTCCTCATGCAAGTCCCTTCCAACATGCTCATCACGCGCATCAAACCTGGCATCTACATGAGCAGCTGGATGTTCGTCTGGGCCATTGTATCTGCGTGTACGGCGCTGGTGCAGAATTTCGGGGGTATGGTTGCGTGTCGGTTTTTTCTGGGGATTACTGAGGCGCCGTAAGTTACTCTCCTTTCCCGCCCCATAATCCCTCCATCCCTCTTTCCCTCATTCTTTTCATATGTGTGAGACTTTTTTTCCTAACGAAAAAGATTAGGTTCTACCCAGGTGCCACATATATGCTTTCAATCTTCTACACAAGGCGAGAAGTAGCGACACGCATTGCATTGCTATACTGCGCACAGATTCTTGCGACGGGGCTGAGCGGGTTGATTGCTGCGGGTGTGTTCCAGATGGATGGGTTGAGGGGGATTGCGGGGTGGAGATGGTTGTTTATCATGTGAGCTTTTTTTCCTCCTCCTCTTCCCTTCCCTTGATTTCAAATACGGAGGGAAATTAGGTTACTAACAAATCGGACAGTGAGGGCGCAGTAACAGCTTTCGTAGCCATCTTCGGCTTCTTCATGCTACCCAACACGCCACTAACGACGCGCTGGCTGTCTCCTCGCGAGCGTGAACTCGCACATGCACGTATGGAGCGCGACCGTATTGGCGATTCCACAGACGACGTGAGCATGATGGATGGACTCAAGCAGGCATGTCGGGACCCGAGGACATGGCTTTTCTGCCTAATGCAGAATTTCCACCTCAGTGCTTGCTCGTTCAATTCGTTCTTCCCGACGTAAGTCACATTCCCTTTTTCCTCTGAAAACACGCATTTTTTTTTCCTAACGACAAATACTTCTCAGTGTCGTCAAAACTCTCGGCTTCAGCACTACAATCACCCTCGTCCTTACTTGCCCACCTTTCCTTTTCGCAGGCGCAGCCGGTATCGCTACGGGATGGAGCTCCGGCCGCATGCATGAACGCACATGGCACATTACCTGCGGTCTGCTCGTCGCAGTCGTGGGTTTCGTCATTGCAGCCAGCACGCTCAACACAGCTGGACGCTACATTGCCTGCTTCATCTTCCCCGTCGGCGCCTACTCTGTCAATTCCGTCATCATCGGATGGGCTTCTTCGACGCTCAGTCAGACAAAGGAGAAGAAAGCTGTAAGTTTTTCACCACACTCCTCTTTCTCGCAACATTTTCTTTGGAGACGTCACCCGACTAACTCGCTAAAGGTTGTCCTCGCAATGACAAATGTCGGAGGCCAAATCGGTTACATCTACGGTGCCTATCTCTGGCCCGAGACAGATAAGCCACGATATGGCATCGGATTCGGTGCTTCGGCAGGCTTTGCACTGCTATCTATCTGCTGTGCGTGGATCATCCGCGCTATGCTCATCAAGGAGAACAAGAGATTGAGGCAGTCAACAAACGAGCGGATTATGCTATATGGGTACTGAGATCCCCCCGGAAAAAAGTTCCGTTGATTGAAGAGTTTTTTTTAAAGTCTTACGATTGAATGACTTTGTGTTTCTTCTGGATTTTTTTCTACAAATGAAAAGAGTAATATGTCATTGCGTAAAACAGGCGAAAACTTTATTTGAACGACGGTAGTGTGATGAAACATTGTCATCAGCCTTAGCTGCACTAATTATTTGACACAAACAAAAACCAGATACCTAAGGTCCCAAATTCTCAATGACCAGCCAAATAAGCTTATCTTGATCTCCCTCCTCGACACTCCTTGTATCGGTTGCTCCCGCTTTGCCCTTGCGAGTCGCATTCCTAGCCTCGCGCCACTCCTTCCTTGCCTCACGCCACTCCTTTCTCGCCGCCAGCTTCTCCTTTCTCAAACCCTTCTTCTTCTCCTTGTACGCCTTCTTCTGCTCCTTCCATTCCTTGCTCTTCTTCGCTTTGCCCTTGCCCTTTGGACCAGAAGCGGCACGGAGCTCCCTCTTGCGCTGGCGATGCTGCTTCTCTAGTTCGCGACTGCGCTTCTTTACGTCACGCATCGCAGCGCGCTTGGACTGCTTAGCTTCGCGTTTGCTCGCGAGTCTCTGCTTGTCTTGTTCGAGCTTGTTGATGGCAGAGGCACGTTCGCGTGAGATTTCTTCAGGCGTCTTGGTGCCTTTTGCAGCGCTTTCTGCAGCCTTTCCTTCAATGAAGCGAAGCCGTTTAGAAAAGGTGCTTTCGGCATCGTAGAACTCATCATCGTCTGAATCGCTGTCGGAATCAGAGTCGGAGCTATCTGACGAGAGCGAGGATGCGTCCGAATCAGAGTCCGAGTCCTCTACACACTTTTCCTTGCCCTTTCCCTTTTCCCTCTGCGGAGCCACGTAATCTGTTTGAATCTTGTGATCGCCAGGTACGACGATACCAGTCTCTTGACCAGACGGAGGTTGATATGATGGCGGTAGATCATCGCGTGGCTGTCCGTAGGTGGCAGGCCTGGGAATGCCCTGCTGTCGGGAGTTGCTGCCGCTCGCAGTTCGTCCAATATCCGTACCCAATCTGCTTGCACGCTGACCAAATTGCATGCCCAAATCGCCCATCATCTTGCCAAACTCCTCGCCAATCTTTCCAATCTCTTTACCTACTTCTGCCCATTCTTTGCCAATGGAGTAGTCTCCTTGTCGTGATGGCCCCGCGGCACCACAGTATCCACGACCGCGCCTGAAACGCGGCCCATTTCCAGCAGCGCCAAAAGTTCCTCGACCTGGACGCCCAAAGGGTGCATTACCAAAGCCACCGAGCGGTGTGTTGCCAAATGGTCCAAATGGTCCACGCCCTGGTGCGCCAAACGGCGACCAATTTCCTGCAGGGCCGCCAGGTTGCTGGCCGTGTCCGTAGTGAGCTTCTTCCGATGTTGTCGGAACTGAATGTGGTGGATCATCTTGTGTATTTATGGGAGCTGTTTGACGGGAGAAGCGCTCGCCCATCTCGTGCAGCCTGTACATGTGCTCACTTGGCGATGGCAGCTTCTCGGTATTGAGCGGCTCGATCCATGGAGTCAATCTTTGCGCGCGTATAGCAGCAGATCTAGGCTCTTCTAAGAGACGGCTAGCAACTGCAGCCCGCTGCCCTGGTCCTGAAGGAATAGGCAGAGTTGCAAGAATCGCTGCTTCACTGCGGAACGACACTCTCAAGCCCCGTGGAGCAAAAAACGCCTCATTGGCTCCTCTGATATACTGACTGACAAGGCTCGAAGATTCGTTTCCGTATGTTGATTCACGTAGTAGATCAGCGGCTGTTGTGTTGGTCGATCTGAGCAGGACATTGAGACCACGCAGGAAGTTCAAGAATTGGTCTGGATCAACCCCATGTCCATGCAGTGTCTGGGTGTATGCGCACAAGAACTGCTCGTGCTCCCCCACAGGTCTATCAGAACCTCCCTCGCCAGGGATGGCAATGATCCTATTTAGATGTGGCGCATAGCGTGCAGCGGGATCGGGTTGGTGGCGAGTAAACTCCAAAGCCTGGGTAAGCATAGCAGAAGCCAAGTCGTTGGGAGTCTGAGGTGAACGGAACTGGCTACCCATGCGCCCAACTGGAATGTTCTCTGTGGAGCTGACCTGCTGGACGGGAACACTGGTGGCCTTGTCGCTCCTATGGTTTGCATAGTCTGGAGCATGTTCCTGTTCACTTGCGGGGTCCGTCTGCTCTCCTCTGATTCTATACTCCCAAATCTCAGGCTCATTGGGACCTTCGTTACGGGTAATGCGATGGGCTTCGATTTGGTTTGGATCTACAGGGGCAATGCCGTTGCGTGCATCGTGAAAAGCCTGATGCCTCGCGTCATCGTAAGATGGCGGCAAGTCATCATATTGGGGGCCTCCCGGGCTATGTGTAGGCGTGGGATCAAATTCATTATCTGAAGAATCGGCAACAGATGTAGCGCTTGGGGTGAATACCACGTTCGACTGGGACGATACGGATGGAGGGGATGGGTGTGATGTCAAGTTTGGATCGGCGTGGTATGAAGGGGGCCCAGCCATGATGAGTTATGTAATGATGTTTGCAGGAGCAAATTTGAGAAGGATGGAGACCGGGAATGATGAAGCTGGCCCTATACGTCTAATATGCTTGGTGTTGGTAGGACATGCACAGCCATCAAACTGCTGCCTTGAGATGAGGGAACCGTCCAATCGCAACGTGGAAATAGACTCTGATACCGGGCCGAGCAGTCAATTAGCCAGACAAAGCAATTTGATTTGTTGGGAAGATGGTGGCAACACGAGGCCGCAAAAGCACATGCGCAGCAGCATCGCTTGCACTCGTGTTCATACTACTAAGTAGGTGGGCTGTGAAGCGGGGCAGAGCGCCACACCGCGCGGTGATGCGTCCAGGTGGCGGTGTAGCCAGAACTCTGGTCGAACCCACAGCATGGGCACCGATTGCGATCACGGCGGGCCGTTGGACAGTGCACGCACACGTACGGCACACGTGCGTATAATAGTACCGAAAGTTGAAAATTACTTTTCTGTGCGAGCGAGTGAGAAGCCAGAACATAGGCAGTACGGGATCGTACCGGTCTTCTACTAAAACCTGGTAATGCAATGCCACGGTGTATGACCCCACTCGCGGTGTCCAAGATAGCATCACGACATCGATACTCCCAGAATGTTACTTTGCAAACCTTTGCTTATTCGATTCTCCGCGTCAAACCCACCATATGCGTGCTGCATCCTGCGCATATTACCAGTGGTGAAACGCAACCGAAGCAAGCGTAAAGAAACCAAAATAACGGCAGTAAGCTGTATATACTACCTACATCTCGCTGAAACACTAGCAATATGGAGAAAAGTGGCTCAGTTGCCGTCATAGGACTAGGTGAGATGGTATTCCGCGGATGGTACCAAGAATCCTACACCTACTAACTCAGCTGCATAGGACCCGCGGGCCTTGTGGCGTTGAAGAATCTCAAGGAGGAAGGGTTCGAAGTTGTCGGATTCGATCGGAATAGCTACATCGGAGGGCTATGGCAGTATTCGACAGAGGAGCAGACGTCGGTCATGGAGACCACTATGGTCAACTTCTCCAAGGAGCGCATGTGCTTCACAGACTTTCCGTTTCCTGACCATATTGCTTCGCATCCCACTGCAGCCCAGGTGCAGCAGTACCTTGTAGCCTACGCCACTCACTTCCAACTCGAAGCCTCGATTCGGCTCAATACCCACATTGCCCAGATTACGTTTGACCAAGAACGACAAAAGTGGATCGTGCAGGTCCAGGGGGAGGATACACAATACTTTGACAAGGTAGTCATAGCTACTGGCGGCATGGTTAGCAAGGCACACATGCCAACGGTCGAGGGCATGGACAAGTTTGCTGGTATAAGCATACACTCGCAAGCATTTAAGCGTCCAAGCGACTACAAGGGGAAGAGAGTCATGGTCGTAGGGTTTAGCAACAGCGCGGCAGATACGGCAACCCAACTGGCTGGCATTGCAGATAAAGTTTACATTGCGCACCGTCATGGGGCAAGAGTTGTAGGTCCACCTTGGCATGCCTGGGGCCGAGAAGATCTTTGGACTAACCGTATCACGACAGCTACCACGACACATCAACGGCGTCGCCATAGACCATACACACAGCCTTCGTCTCTTCAAGTTCCAAAGCCTCATGACCAAGTACTTTCCAAAGTTCAGTGACAAGCCGTTCGATAGGTTGATCAAGAGAATACAAGATAAGAGTTTTCATGTTCGCCCCGAGTGGCGCTTCGAGCCAGCGGGCAAGGTGCCCATCGTATCCGACAGCCTGGTTCCCTGCCTGGAAGAAGGCAGTGTTTCATCTGTTGCAGGGGTAAAGCGAATTGTGTCCGAGACAAAGGTAGAGCTCGACGACGGAAGCAGCATCGAAGTCGACGTCATAGTATGGTGCACAGGGTACAAGTCTGACTTTAGCATTATCGAACCAAAGTTTGATCCCACGTGTCGTCCACAGCGGTGGCTGGATGCACCGGGGTCAAACGGCAAGTCGCTGTTTCGGCTCTACCACAACGTCTTTTCAGTGGAGAAGCCGGATAGTCTGGCGTTCCTAGGCAACGTGCAGATCACAATTGCAAACTTTCAGCAGTTTGACCTGGCCACCATGGCCATTGCGCAGGTTTGGGCCAACAAGTCGCAGCTGCCCCCTCGCGACGCAATGATTGCTGCAGTGGAAAAGGAGCACGAATGGCTCATTGATCTGGCACGGCGCACCCCAAACGTGTCGCCAGGCCACTGCAATATGGGTGTATGGATACGAGCCATGGACCGTCTCGCTGGAACAGGAGTCAACGAGTATCTGGGCTACGGGCCGAAGGGCTGGGGATTCCGGCTCAGAGAGCCAAAGTACAGCAACCTCTTGACGGGAGGCATCTGGAGCCCACATATCCACCGTGTTTTTGATGGTAAGAGGAAGCGTTGGGATGGTGCCAAGGAGACGATTATCCAGACCAACCAGAGAGTTCGCGAGTCGAAGCGGACAAAGGGGGGAGCTGCTTGAGCCCGCTGCGCTCGCAGATTATGTAATTTCGTTCGTGCATGAGGTGAAGCTGTATATAGTAAGTAGTAGTATGTAGTATGTACATAATAGTAGTAAGTTGGATGTGGTTCCTGTTCGCGAAGATGCGAGGGAGTGCTCGAATGTTCCTTTCTGGACAGCTTCCCCACCATGACGCGATGGTCCGCGGCGAAGGAGGCAGGCAGACAGCGACTTTGACCACGACGCTGCAATCGTCTCATACGGTATAACTCTTCCAACACTGCCATCAAGACACGACACGACACGACACGACTTTGTATTCGTTCGCATAACTAGTGGAAATCTGACAGGCGTGGCGGTCATTACACAAGGTCGCGGCTTGGCCAATCACAGCACAGACTGTTGGGCAACGCATCTAGTGCACAGCGCAACAGACATATCATTTCGATTTGTTTCCACGCGCAACCCCGCAAAACATTGAAACACGTCAATTTCCCCCCCAAGACTGATAGACACTTTTTTGTCTATCGCCTGTCCGAAAGAAAAAAGACTCCATCGCCGACCGACACACTCAAATAATCCAATTGCCTGGGAAACACGCAACAACAATATCCAACATGGCGACGCAGACACTGCACGGCTCCTGTGCATGCGGACGGAACCGCTATGTAATTGAGATACCAGCGCAGCAAGTGCGCCAAGCTGAGCTGAGATACGACAATACTCCAGCATCGCGTAAGTACTAGATACATGCCCGCCACACGCGGGGATGCTCCGAACCATCACGGTGCTGTCGCTAACAAAGCATAATAACTGCAGGATACCATGCTGCCAACCCTCTCACTCTCTGGCTGCGCGTGCCCTTGCCATGGTATACGTCGGCTACATTCGCCCAATTCCCTGACGAGACACGACTGAGTATCAAGCGCAACTTCGAATCTCCCTTTGCGTCCCACACCCGCCGCCAGTTCTGCGGATACTGCGGCACACAGTTGTCGTCGTGGAATGAGCGCACGCGCGATGAGGCCGAGCACATCTCCCTGACTGTCGGCAGCTTGTTGGACGAGGACCAGGAACTGCTGGGCGACCTCGGCTTCATCCCCAGCAGTGACAGTAGCGACGACGAGGGCATGTCATCCGCTGCCCCCTCCCGTCCAACTTCTTCGCGCACCATCGTCCGCTCGGGTCCGCAGTCTCGCGGCGCTCCCTGGTTCGAGGAGATTGTACGCAACACTCGCCTTGGACGCTTCAAGCAGCAGCGCGGTGCACACACGGACAGCGGCGTCCACGTCGAATGGGAAGTCACGGAATGGACCGAAGGCGACGGCCTCGATCTCGACGACGAGGGCAGCGCCACGCCCAGCAAGCGCAAAATTGGCGACATCGATGACGCTGAAGACACGGAGATGCGCACCGCGTAGATCCTACCTTCTTTCATTTTCACGTACGGTATGACTTTGACTTGACATTCACAACGACAATAGATTTGGCGCCGCTCACGCCTCACGGGACGAGACAATTAGTAATCATCGGTCCTCTGGCAGGGCGACATGGGCTTGGAGTTTGCAGGTGCGTTTCTTTTGTGTATACCATTATGTGAATACAGTATGGCGAATGTCACTTCGCCCTGTTTGTAACATGACCATTTTCTTCTCAGATGCATCAATCTATTCACTTTCCTTCGCTCTAATTCTTGCATGCACACCTCCTCTTTTTGAGTCCAATTCCATCGCACCCCCAATATGCCTTCACTTCTCTTTTGGCATCTAGGCCTTTGGCATTGGACATGCCGTCTTGGAAAACCAATCAAACCCATCTGAGCGGAAAGGGACGCGCGGGGGTGGCTCGGCACGGATGTCTCTCGCTAACGCACAGCGACTCGCAACTTCACTGCCAACACGGTGTACCATCACACAGAGACAAGTGGGTGCTGCTCCGACTTTTGTGGAAAGAGATCTCATAGGTCGACAAGATGGCTTCGTTGTCCAGGCGCTTCGTTGTCCAGCACTCGCAGTGGGAGGCCTTGCTAATATATCATGAACATTACTTATCTTGCCTTACCTCATTCTGTTGTTCGACCAGCCTCTGCATCGAAAAAGGAGCGCTTCCATACTCCCGGGTATGGAGCACAAGTCCCGCTCATTGGTCCCCACATGGTTCGTACCTGCAACACACAAGGGTTGATTATCTACACCCTGGGATCGACTATCTGCACCCTGCAGTGTTCCCGGCATAGTCCGTTTTCTTATCAGCCCCGAGCAACATAACACGATTAGTCTCACCAACCCGCATGCCTCGTTCCACTCCCTGGCTTCAATGCCGGCATAGATTTTTCTCTAGTATGGATGTGCTCCTCGGATATCGTCCTAACCTGGCCGCTTTTTCTGCCGTCATTCTTGGAGCATGCAAGCATTGTATGGGGCGTATATGCAACGGTATCTAGCTGCTGCTGCCACTTTCCGATCGCTTAGCATATGTATTTACGTGAAGGGGTCATAATTGTTTTGCAATCTGATAGATAGACGCGTCCGGATCCATTGTCTCTAGTGCGGCTGGTGAATATCGAAAAGCACAAAGACGAACTTTTTGCTTTTTTCCCTTCATCCTATACACTCCTTGTTGCCCGCCGGCCGACCACCAGCATGGATTCGGAGAGGAAATTGTCGGCAGAGAAGCCAGTGTCAGTGGACGTGGATGAGGCAGCAGGTGTAACTGAGGTGTTGAACGCCTCGGGACACAAACAAGAACTTGAGCGTAACTTTAGTTTGCTCAATCTCTGCGCCATTGGTATCACGACTGGCAACGTTTGGGCTGCGTTGGGAGGCTCCATTGTATGTTGATTCTGTCTCCTTGCTCTGAAAGTTCCAAACCCACGAATTCCGCTGACTTGCCTTAGGTCATTGCGCTCTACAATGGCGGTCCTGCTGGCGTTATTTACGAATTCATCACTGTATCGTGCTTCTACTTCATGATTGCGGCATGCATTGCAGAAATGGCATCCGCTATCCCTTCTTCTGCTGGCGTATACCACTGGGCGAGCGTAACAGGCGGGGCGAAATTCGGAAAGGTTATAGGTTTCTACGCTGGATGGTACGTACAATGGAGGATACCAGATGGGAGAGAAGTTAACTCGCGCCAGGTGGAATGTGTTGGGCTGGATCTTTGGCACAGCATCCATAACATCGATCCTCTCGACCCAGATCATTTCCATGTACGGCCTATTCCACCCAGGCTATGCCTATGAGCGCTGGCACGTCTTCATTGTGTATCTCATCATGACTTGGCTTTCCTGCGCCATTGTCATGTTCGCAAATCGCGCCCTCCCGAAACTGACCAACATTGGCCTCTTCTTCATCCTCATGGGCGTCTTCGTCACCATCATGGTATGCGCAATTATGCCAAGTCAGACAGGCAAAGGATACGCGAGCAGCGAGTTTGTATGGCAACAATGGTCGAACCAAACAGGTTGGAGCAGTGACGGCTTCGTCTTTTGTGCGGGAATGCTGAACGGAGCTTTTGCCGTTGGTACACCGTAAGTATATCACCCTGCTTATACTTTCATGGCATGCTAACAATCTTCTCACAGCGACTGCGTATCCCATCTCGCCGAAGAGCTTCCCCGCCCACGCACGAACATCCCCAAAGCAATCCTCGCCCAATACGCAGTCGGCTTCATAACCGCATTCCTATACCTAATCGCAATCTTCTATTCCGTAAACGACCTCGACACCCTCTTCTCGAACCCCTGGCCCTTTCCCCTCGCAGAACTCTACCGCCAAGCCACAAACTCGCACGGCGGCTCCCTCGGCCTCCTCATCGTCATCTTCCTCCCTACCTTTTGCACAAACATTGGCTGCTACATCACCAGCGGCCGCATGCTCTGGACCCTCGGCCGCGACGACGCCACACCTTTCAGCCACTGGGTCGGCAAAGTCGACAGTAAATGGGAGAACCCCTTCAACGCAACGCTGGCTTGCGGGCTCATCAATACCGTCCTAGGCTGCATCTACATCGGAAGCAGCACCGCCTTCAACGCCTTCGTCGGCTCCTTCAGCATCCTCTGCTCCCTCTCCTACCTCGCCTTTCTCGTCCCTAACATCCTTTCCCGCCGCAAACGCGTAGTCAAAGGTCCTTTCACAATGTCCGATCCCGTCTTCTACACCGTAGCTTGTCTCGCGAGCGGTTACATGGTTGTCTGGATCCCGATTTACTGTTTCCCTTCTGCGCGGCCGTTTGATTATACGACGATGAATTATACGAGTGCGCTAACGGGCGGTGTGACGATTTTGCTGGGCGGATGGTATTTGTGGATTAGGAATAAGGGGTATGTGGGGCCGAGACGGTTGGTGGAGAGTTTGGAGAATGGCGAGGTGCCGGGGTTGGAGGGGGAGGAGAAGATGTGATGTGGAATGGGGATAGGTTGGGGGTGGTTTAGTGTTAGGGGGAGAAATGCAGAGTTATTTTTTAGCGGTTGCTTCAATATCATTGCTGATTGTACACAAGCCAATGCTGCTTTTGGATTCTGTGAATGATGGATGTCTAATTACTAGACACACAAGCAAGGAATTCGCGGATTGGAAGAGTAACTCCAGAATTCTTGGTGGGAAGAAGCAGTAATTCCACAATGCATATGAAGAGCAATTTAGTTGATACAACCTCTCCGAATTAAAATTTCGGTTCCGTTATCTTAGAATATAACTCTAGTTAGTATCTCCTGATGAGCTTACAAGAGTGCCTTTGGACCCACACAGCAGTGTTTGTTTTGATCGCTGGTGGGATGGAACGGGAAAGATGACAGTAGTCTGGATAACACATTGTCTGAACGGCAGCGCAGTTTGGAGAATTTATCGGCTTAGTATAGACAATGAGTGCATCTTGATTGGCTTGACTTGATCTGTGTAAAGACTTCTTGCAAAGATAGGGAGGGGGTGATGTCGCTATCGGACTACTTTAACTGATATTAACAGTGGTCATAGCGTTGATGCGAATAGCGACTGTATGCACAACCACGGCGATAATAAATATTTGTTCTTTTAAGTAAAAAGGCTAAAAAAACACTGGGTATGAGAATCTGTGAACTGAGAAGACTTTCTACATTCTCTCCAGAACGAGCATAGCCAAGACACTTCTAAACTCATCTCTCTATCATATCTACCAACACATGATATCTACACACGATTCTATCAAGCAAAGCCCCCCCAAAACTCTACACCCCATACACATCCTCATCAAAAAATACCAACACGGCCTCACTCCCCCTCACACTAACCACTCCATCCTCCACAACCTCAATATCCATCTCCCCCACCGCATCTCCCTGCGGAAACGACTGCCCCGCCCACGTCGTAACCTTACTATCCTTACTATCCACAAACGGCGCCGTCATCCTCTTGACCCTGACCACGCCCTCGTCCCGCTCGTCCCGCTCCGCCCCCAACCCAACCTCGACGGTAAAATCCACTGTAGAATTAGCATGAAAGGGATTCATATTCACCAGCGCAACTTTGGCCACCCTATCAGCCACATAAAACGCATACGCAGCAAACCTCTCCGCGTCCACGCCTTCAAGCGCTTGTAAAGCTCTAACTCTCGTCCCAGCCACTGCAAACGCCTCTGCCATGAAGAGTTGAGCCAGGAACGACGGCAGCGTGCGCGCAGGCCCCCTGAGCTCGCTATCGCGCGGATAAAGCATCGAATACGTACTAAACCCCGGGCTCCCATTTTTGCCGGGCGTATTAACCTGTTCATTTGACTGCAGCGCGAGCGTCGCGCCCTGGTGCAAGAACGTCGAAGTCGCGTTCCTCGTTGCATATAGCAGTTCAGAGTCTACGACCCAGAGGGCCTGGGCGAAGGTATCAGTGACGTTGGGTGCGCCGGAGCAAGAAACCGAGTTGAATTCGCCGATGCTCCAGCTGCTGTTTGCGGTCAGGGCGGCGAGGGCAGACGGGTAGATTTCCGAGTCGCAGTAGCGGGCGAGCTCGGTGTGGTTGAGGATGTTTTTGATGGTGGCGAGGCGGGTGCGGGCGGGGTCGCAGGTCGAGAAGGCGTATGAGTGGATCGAGTAGGTGTCGACTTGGTGGGCTGAGTTTATGCCTGCTGGGATGAGGGCTGCGGGGCGGACTTCGAGGCCTGAGTTGTCGGTTGTGGCGGACGAGGCCCACCAGCGGGCTTGGGGGAGGGCGGAGGTGTTGAGCGTGTTTACGGAGGTGTCGATGCTTGCGGTGTATTCCTTCCATTGCTTCACGTAGGCTTGGGTGGAAAGATTCCATCGGTTCCTGCCGTAGTTTGTGGGTTCGTTGCCGAGTTCGAGGTAGGCGACCTTGTCGGGTTGATATGTCAATGAGGCGACAGCCAGACCCGTGGCGATGTCTAGACTTTCGTTGCCAAAGTTGAGCGTAGCTACGAATTTTGTTCCTTCGGGGAAATTGGACCAGCTCTTGAAGTATCCGGGTCCAACAGTCGTCCGCCAGACTCCACCAGTTGGGCTAGTCGTACGCACCACGTCGCCCCCGTTTGGATCAAATATCATACTGTCCATGGTGATGCCGCCAGGACGTATGACTGGATGCCCTCCATGCTCATGGATTCTGTCCAGTGCCTTGAATGTAAGCTGGTTCGGATTGCTAGCATTTCCGAAAAAGTCGACCCAGAAAGCAGGCTCGAAGGAAAATGAAGCAAAAGAATTTGTGTGAGGAATTGAAGCCCCTACTGCTGTCTTTGGAACAATCAAGCTTGAAGCCTGTGTATTGTCCTTGGTGGGCAAGGCGTAGGCAGTGGTTACTGCAATTGAAACAGCGACGATGCTCAGGTAAGCCATGGCGAAAATTTGTAAACTTGAAGCACCTCGTCCGTCTCGCTGCGACCATGTAGTAAAGACATCCTGGCAATTGATATACTTTGTACTTAGTACGTAGAAGACAAAACGTCACAGCGATACAACAGTCTTGTTGTTTACCGAAACGGGCGATATCACTCCGACGGCCGTGAAATACCCCATTGCGCCGGCGTCGAGACGGAAAAATTAGTCGCGGATTTAAGGTGAGGAAGCGATGCTGTGGGGGAGCCCGCGGGGAAGGCTAGTGGATCGTCACGGCTCGCTTTTTCGCGGGGAACAAATATGATCATGCCATCGGGTAGGTAGCTGAATTCAGCATCGTCATCTTGGCAACAATGCCAGTTTGCCTAGAACCGGTATGCAATGTTGAAAATGATACCCTAAGATGTGACGTAGCCATAGAGACTACATACACCCTAATGCTGGTCCTCCGCTAATCCAAAACGACATTTCCTCCGTCTGTACAGCAAATGCCGCATCCCTGATCCGTTCGATGTGCACTGCATTGATGTACGTCGCAGGACAATGCCAAATACGGGATTTCATCGACGCCTGATGAGCCTTATACCATGTTGCTGCATTGGCGCTATTACTAATGGCTGATCTAGAATACATTGGCCTTCACGTGTGTGCGCGCGCATCCATGATACTGATTTCCGGAGATCTCTCCGGCCGCATGCTTGACATGCGAACGAATAATTTCGATTGCTGATGATCCAATAGCCGTGTGTAGAGCGCCGTTAATTGCTAGTCGATGTCTATGTCCCTTCCCAAGTCTACTTTGTTCCCTGCGCGCCATGAGGAGCCCCAGTTCTTCTCTTCATCATAACTTCTCCCATTGCATTTCTGACTTCCCTCTCTTGATGCACCACGTTCTGTACCATGTACTTCTTTAGCGCTTCCCTCAGCTCGCTCTTTGCCCTTTCGTTATCCCTGTAGGGCACGCTTTCTAATTCCAAGAGCCTATTCACGTCCTTGTTATTTTCGGCGACAAATTGCCCCAGGCGGTCGAGCTGCTTGTGTATCGTGTCCTCGCTATTGTCGGTAGGCTTTGAACCCTGCGGATCGTCGCGATAAAGTGGCGTAAGGAGAGCAAGGAATTGGGTGAGAGATATAGCCGTCTTCTTGATAACGGCAATGACTTGAAATGGGAGATATGCAGGCCGGAGGTTGGTGGATGTAACGAGCGGGTTTAGGTACTTGGTGAGCAACGCAGGGTGGTCGGGACGCAGAGCGGTGCGTACTTCAAAAGTTGCGACAGCGAGAAGACCCACGTAGCGCCAGTGTGCGCCATCTCTTAGAAAGCCAAGAGCATTTGCGCCCATTAAGAAAATAAGTAGGCCGATGTACGTTATGTACGTAGACACCAGTGCCCCGTCAATGTACTCCTTGATGGTCAAACAGTCTTGGCACTGCCTGAGGATGTCTGGGCCAAAGCGGTCATATGCAAAGCGCTTTACGGGATCCAGAATGATATCCCGCGCGTGCTTCAAATGCACATAGTAATTGTTGGCGAGTTCCTGGTCTACATTTGGCCCAATCTTATCCGGATGATACTTGATTGTCAACCTCCTGAAGCGCGAGTTTATACCACTTTCGTCAACATCGATGGGTACGCCGAGATCGTTGTACGCATTGCTGGAACGCTGCAGGTTGAAATCGACTTCGTAGATGGTAAAGGCAAAATACGCTGCGTAGACAGCTATGAGGATATTGCGGCGATGTTTGTTGAAGCGTGGAGTGCCGGGTTGTGGTTTTGGGTCACCGGCACGGATGAAGATGCCGTAAAGGACGGTTTGTATCCATCCTGCAGCCTATGTCGCGTTAGATGCTGTTCCATCTGGAGTCAAACGGGTTGGACTAACAAGGGGTATGAGAAACTGCCACACTAGGAAGGGTAGAATCGCATCCAGCGATAGAGTATCCTTGGCCATTCTCTGGTTACAAGTTGAGTGACATGAAGCAGGAAGAGTGAGCACTACATGGAAAGACAGGTGGCACTGGCGTCGATCGGAACGGTTCCGAACCAAATTATGCAGAGGCACGTGCGCGTGGCAAACCCAACATCGCAAAGCTACAATCAGACATAGTTGCACACTACGTTCATCATTGATGAAAATGCTGTGGCAGATTACTTTGCAAATATCACGATCCGAATTCAACAGGAGAAAGATTCAACAGGAGAAAACTATGGTATTCAAAGTACGTACTCGACGTTTAGTCGATCTATGGTATAATGCAATGCGCTGCAAACAATTGCAACATATTAAAAAGAAAAAGCCTACATGCTGGAAAGCATGCAGCTCAACAACTGTCTGCATAAAGAATCCTGAAGCCCGGAATTGGTTGGCGACTCAGCGCCGGGTATATTTTTCACCAGACATAACGCATATATGCATCGGCTTGCCGATTTTCATGGCGCACGCAGCGCGCTCACTCGCATTCATTGCGACCAGCGCTCACATACTCGCTTTAACAGAAATGAGATTTTAAGCTTGTCCGCTGGTCTGAGGCATAAGCCCCTCATCCTGTCGGCGCTTCTCCTTGAGAGATCCTGCAGCAGATCGGTTCTCGACATCACTGTCAGAAATGTCATACTGGCGTACAGCCTCGGCGATCTGGGCTTCGTCCATCTTGGGCAGCTGCTTGGCGGCATGGACATAGCTGATCTTCTCAGTGTAGCCCTTGGCGAAGATGAGGTCAATCTCTTCAAGGGATCGTCCGGCAGTCTCGGGGTAGAAGAAGTAAATGATGGGAATAAAGGAAGCGTTGAGCGCAGCGAAGAAGAGGTAGGTGCCCCAGCCAATGCTGGTGATGAGCACAGGGGTGATCATGACGATGAAGAAGTTCCACAGCCAGTTGTTGATGGTGGAGAAAGCGTTGGCCTTCTGACGGGTCTTGAGAGGGTTGATCTCGGCAGGGTACAGCCAGGGCAGAGGCAGCCAGGTGACACCGAAGAAGGCAATGTAGACGAAGAGACCGACAGCAGCACCGGGGGCAGAGACGGTCTTGTCAATCAAGCACGCAAAGGTGAGAACCATGGCAAGCATCTGGCCGACGGTACCGATGAGATAAAGCTTGCGGCGACCTACGCGCTCAACGAAGAAGAATGAAGTCGAAGCGAAGGCGGCGTAGACAACCATGTTGACACCTCCCAAAAGAAGGGCGAGGTTATGGTCGGTGCCCAAAGCGTCCTGGCAGAGAATGGGGAAGTAGTAGATAACAGCGTTGCATCCAGAAAGTTGTTGCATGAATTGTCCAGAGGCACCGAGAAGAGCACGGCGGAAGTGCTGCGTCTTTCCTCCAGTGAGGAGGGCCTTGGTGGGAACCTTGCCGCCGCCACCAGAAGCGTTGACGGCATCACGAATGACCTGCATCTGGATGAGAACCTCTGGGTCGTCACGAGGAACGCCATTCAGACCAGCCAAGACAGTGGCAGCTTCATCTTCGCGGTGATGGTTGAGCAGCCAGCGAGGGGATTCGGGAAGCGAAGTCATCATGATAATGACAACAAAGGCGAAGACACACTGGAAAGCAATGGGGAATCTCCAGGTGAAGTCATCGGGGCCGTAGAGACAGCCATAGTCGATCCAGTAGGCGATGAGCGTACCAATGGCAACCATGGAGCCTTCAATACAGATGACCTTTCCGCGGTTCTTGGCCTTGCAGCACCTGGTGGGTGGTTAGAGTCTGTGTGGAGGAGATGGTCAATATATGGGACACAACTTACTCAGCTTGGTAGGTAGGAATAGTTGAAGTGTTGATGCCGTTTCCAACACCGGTGATGCATCGTCCGACGATAAACTGGGCAGTGGCACCGCCATTAGGAGGGACGCAGGCGATTTGGATAATGACACCGATGACCATGACAAAGGCACCGAGGAAGATGCTCTTGCGGCGACCAAGCTTGTCTCCAAAGACGAAGATGAAGCAAGCACCGAGGAAACAACCGACAGCGTAGATGGAGACGACGAAACCTTCGTAGGTCGAGTCACCCTTGACCTGGGGGAAGGCGGATTGGAAGGCCGGGGCGGAGATGATGCCACTCATGACACCCTGATCGTAACCGAAGAGCAGAAAGTCTGTTACGGCAACAATGGTGACGAGGACCTGAAGCATGCGGCCGGACTGGCCCCAGTAGGTGGGCACGCCATTCTCGCTCTCTTTGATACGTGGAGGCATGTTTGCGGTGTATCGATGGACAGGCTGGAGGGAAGTGAGGAGATGCTGGGGAGGTGGGCAAGCTGGGGAGAAGGGTAGAGCTTTAAATGATGATCCCCAAGAGTAGTACCAGGGTCCTCGGCAAAAACGTGGTGCAGCATGTACGGCCTTGGTCCACTAAAAGTGACGCTACCAAGATGCTGTCTGACGCGTGGAGAAGACTAGATAACGGATTTTTTCAACATCTTGGCCTTGGCTGTTGTTGTAATAACGCCAGGCGTGCAGGCTGGCGGAAGAGGCGCAAATAAACTGTGGAGATGCAAGGAGCCTAACAGGGTCTGTCTGTGGAGCCTGAATGGCTGGGGCCAATCTTGGAGAAGAGCGGAGGACGCTTGCGGTGCAACAAGCGCGCTCGGCATAGGCTGCGTCTTGTCTTAGGCCCGAGGTTGCCTCCACATTACGTCACGGGTACAAGCATCGGGAGGGTGGTTGAGTAGGGATGCGAAGTGAACACGGGCGGAACGTCTGAGGGTGCCAACCGTTGCAAAGCGGGCGGAGGGAAGACATGGGCCAAGAAGCGGTTTGCATGCTGACGGCGATGCCGAGTCGTTGGTGTAGCCATACACATGGTCGCGGGGAGGTTGATGGGCTGGCAGTAGATAGAACTACCAAGACGCAGGGACTAGGGGATGCTCGCAGCTCGTCACCAAGTCGTTCATGGGGGGCGGGCGTGTATGGTAGTCGAGCAACAATGGCACAGGGACAGGTGCAGACTCGGGCAACATGCCGCAAGTGAAGAGGTAGCGTCCTAAGATTTTTTTTGCTTAGAGGCACAGCGGCCATGTCAACATGCGTGCGCCTGACGTCATGCATCGGCGGAAGGCAGTCTTCACATGCAGGGTCTGACCAACCGTGCGCATGCGGCTCTGCAGCTTCTTCGCCTTGGCCGCTGATCTTGACTAACAAGGCTCGCAAAAGGTGGAGCTTGAACGCACCATGGCTGCAGCCGTGACGAGCAACGCTGCCATGCACACGGGCGGATGCGCTGCCCAAGACGTGTGTGACGGAGACTGCAGCACCACCACTAAGCCCCCTCGGGCACAAACCGCTGCGCTGACGACTGCCGGCCGGGAATTTGTCGTGCCTTTCGGGGAGCCCTGTTCACACGGCTCGTTGTTGTGTGTGGTTAGAGTACGGATAGGAGTTAGTATGATGTTGATGGGCCGTTGCCAGTTTTTTTTTACCCGATCCCCAGACTCGCACCCCAAGTTTTTTTTTCGAAAGACGTCACTGCGCCGCAGTCGTCACCGCAAGGCAGCATGTTTCGTCAGAATATAAAGGTGAAGATGAAGAATTAGCGCTCACCCTGCCAATGCGGGATAAGTTGCCAATGGCAAATGCTTAGCAGACGGTTGATGAGCGAGTCGGCCCAGCGGTTTGCGGGGATGAGGCGTCGACAAGCATATGTTGATCCGGCCCGTCCCAAAGAGGAAGGTCCGGATCGCTTGGCGCGCTCCCATCTCAATTGCAGCACGCACCCTCGAGGATGGCGACGCATGCAGACGCGATGCACCATAAACAAAACAACAGCAAAAGCAGCAGGCGCGCATGTGAGCCCATGTGAAGACGGAAGGCTCGAACCATACGGTCACATGCCGTCCCTCTACCCCGTCTTCCCCACGGCCCGGCAGGCCAACTCGGCTCCGTCTCCAGTTCCCCATTGATACTCTGCCGCACGCAACACACACACACACATATGTCCCCCAACAATACCACCCACACGGAACACACGGCTCTCATCTCTCGTGCTAACACACGCCGAACACACCCAACAAAGCAAGAACCCACTTGGGCAGCCTCCACGAGCCGCTACGCACACGTGTTCCTGCCAAGCATCATACCATCTCGAGTACGAGGACCACAAATATGTAATCTGCAATGTCGGTGCTTCCGCCTCTTGCAGAATGTAGAATGCCCTTCTGATCATCACAATCATACTTGCTTTTGCATGACAGGCTGGCCCGCGGCCTTGGACATCAGGGTCTGTCCACTGCCCGCCAATCACCACCGCGCCATACACTGCGCTGTCAACCCCCCTCTACCAGCTGCCTCGTTCCAATACCACTTGCATGCCCTTCTGACACCTTGTTCCAGGACACTGGAACTGGGGGAACGGCCATGGGCGCGCGCGAAGCCTGTTTGCGCTCCATCTCCGCCAATCTCCAACCTTTCGTCGTTAGCACTCGATGCGAGAGCTAGGGTAGACTATGTATCTGACCCACGTCAGTTCCCCTCCTGCACTCTCGGCATTGGCATCGCGCTGCGCCTATACATATATGCGGCCCATTCAACGCACTCAACTCCATCCCCGGCTCTTCATGTGCTCGCTATATTTCGCGCAATCCCAAGCCCAACCCCCGGTTCCCAAGACTTTGGCAAAGTCCGGTAAATCCATCCGGAGTACAGAGCCTTCTGTATGCGGAGCACCCACAGTCTCCACATTCTGCTACTTTGGCAGTCATGTGTCCCACCATCGTACTTGCCAAGTTGGGCTCCACTATGCGCATCGCCCTCCATCGTAACCGAGAAACGGTCGATTGGCGGTCAAACGATGACTGCCACTTTTGAGGGTCTCACAATCTCCTCATACTTTCTGTGGCCAGTTTTGCATCTGCCTCGCTAAGTAGCTGCCTTCCCCGTATTGCCAACACGCCCTGTGTTGCACTCATATCGCTCCAAGCATCCTCTTCCCAGTCCTGTCTATACAACATCCATATTAACCATCACGTTCAGGTTCTGCCACTATATCTTCCCAGTACCATTCCTCTTTCTAGAACACACCAAGTTGGAGAAACGTCTCTTATCTCACAGCCACCTCACCACTGTACTTGGCCCTACAGTGTTTCCCTCGTCGCCAAGACCCCATTGTCAAAGTATCGTGGCCAGAGTGTTCATACGCCTAGCATCGTCATGCTTTCGCCCACACCATTAGCATTCGGTTCTCCTGCGACTAGTATCTGTCGGACTGGCCTCCTATATCCAATAGTATCTGCCACATCCCATCCTTGCGATCTCGTATGCTTAGTCAGTCGGCGCATAACAAGACTCTTGGTTGCATGGGTTTTAGACTTTTACATTTCGTTGCTTTTCACCCTGGAACCAGGGTGAGCCCAACCATAATCCGTCACGCTGATCAGATAGCAAACACGGCGCTTTGGAGGCTAAACTGAAGCTCAAACTAGTCTGTCATCTATATGCCCTGGATGCATTGCACAAGACTCTAGTTCTTCGTTTCTTATGTGCATAAATACGAGCTTGTCAAACACTGTTGGTGTAGTGTACTAAGAAGGGTCATGGAATAGTTATGCCAGGCGCTGGCGTTTGGACTTGACGAGATTAATCAAGTCGCAAGCGCAGCAACTAGTTTAGAATGCGGGGAAGGTTTGTCGTACGATGGTTAGTAGGTGCCAAGAAGATACAAGATGCTGACATCTGGGCAGTCACTACGCTGTAGCCTCCTATAGCGTGTATAGGGTGACCGTGCAACACCATGATCGACACATCTTTTTGTCATCTAGCGTACCTTATTCCTGAGGCAGCCCATTACGCTCTTGTTCAATTTCCACGTGGTTGAGGTAGTATGAGACACCCTAAAAATCACCTCCCTTGTCTTTCTGCCTTGGTCGAGATGCAGCAAAATACGAACTCGAATCCTGCTCCCAAGGAGTCTAGTCCGGGCCTTTACACTACATGTCACACCAGAATTCTGCCATTGCCGTCGGAGGATTTATTCCATTTACTGAACAGTAACTAGAACGTGTTGGGTACATGACTCGAGAGCAGCCACTCACAAGCCACCTCAACTTCTTTGTTAGTCTCAGAAGTGAGTCTAGCAAAAAATCGCAAACAATTCGTCCCGGACCAAGTGCAATTCTCCGGTTGTAAACGGGCCTTTACGGTAGCATCGACCAAATGCCAAGATTTGCTTGGTGAACCCAAGCCGGCCATGCAGACGCATCCGGTGACAGAATGCGATGTCAAGTGTAGATCCAGTGAAATCGCACGACGTCTCAGGTGTCGACGCATGAAACCTCAGACGGCCGGCCACGGAAGTTTTTTCTTCTCCATTGTATTTTTCCTCCACTCGAGACGAAACTTGTTCTGTTTGCGTCATGTGTTTTCTGTTCATGGCATACCACGAGCTTACGTCGAGCGGGCGAGTGAGCAAGTTCAACCTAGACATGCAATTCATGGCCAACACTATCTACCCGCCAACCTGAGAGTGAGCAGTGGGGAGGCGAGGACTGGACTGAGCAGCGGGAGCACGGCAACCGCGGGATTAACATCAAGGTCCACTCGTTTGTGGCGCCGGTCCGGCCCATGTTCTACAGGGATACCCGGAGAAGGCTCGAGTTTGGACATGTATTTGAGTTTCTGTGCTCGAATATAAATGTTTTTACCGGTGGATTTCTGTCAAGGAGAGATGCCATTGGCCCATGGGGCTTTCGGAAATGCGGTTGTAGTGATATAATACCATGAATGCTACACCAAGTCTGAAGAAAGATTCCAACACTATGCCTTGTCTTCCAGGGGGATGCTTGCGTCGATACGGCAGCATGGCTGATACCAAGAAGCGTAGCAAGAAGGTGCAAAGAAAATGGGCTTGCCCAGCGCAGCCGCGAGAGCCAATGGCTAGCAAACTTCGGGTCAGATGTCGGCAGTACCTGTATGTCTTGCAGGGTGTTTGTGTTTGAGAGTCTGGTTGTGGCTGATTTTAGATGATTACCTTGGGCCCCGGTGCCCGGGATAAGTACGTCGGGCTTCGGAGCCAGCATGAAGCCCGCACAAGCTGTCACACGTACTGAACAGGCTGTGAACGACACCAGAATGCGCTCGAGAGCAGCCTCACCGCCCATTCACGCGCCCAGCTGCCATCCATCGGAATGGAGGGTCCGATGAGTGTTTCGGCGGCGTGGCGATCGATGCGCGCCGCCAACGCTATGCGCTCCGTGCATCAGCTGCGTACATGGATTGCCTGCTGTATACTGCCTCTGCTGCCGTCGTACATACGTGTCGCTGATATGAGGCCACAAGTCAGATGAGGCATGGAAAAGAAGGTTGAGTGTGAGAAGGGGGAGACGAAAGCCACAGGCTGACATTCGGGCCTTAGCGCCATGAACGCATAGGGTCCGGATTGGCAAATGCGGGTCCAATCGGTTCTTTGAAGAACTTTGTATGGCTCCGTTGCAAGCCACGGGCAGTCGTCGACACGGAGAACGCCAGATAGGCACTCGACATGTGCGCCTCGTTCAACTCCAGCAGCCTATCGCCCTAGCTGCATAACGTCTGCCATCCTGAAACGCTGTCTTTTGCTACGGGGCGCCGCGGGGTATTCTTAGTCCCACAAGCCCTCAAGCCTTCAAAACCACACTGACGCACTCCCCCAACTCGCAGAGCACACAAAGCTCGCTCTGCCGCCCGTCATTTTTTCGCCGACTCCTGGATGACTATGCAGCACCCGTCCCGGATTCTCAATCGACTCTGGCTGCGACTCAATGGCGAACAGCAAGTAAGTAGTAGTAGTAGTAGTGACTGCGCGACAGTTCCACAGCCCCCGGTAAACTAACTGGCCGTGCCCAGATATGAATATGTGCGCTTGTTTGAGCAACCCGACATCCTCCTGGCCAACACATGGATCGTCGTGCGAATCGACGGCCGTGGCTTTTCAAAGTATGTCCTTAATCTATTCATCTTCCTTTTCTCCGTTACAGCCGTGTCCTTTCTCGCGCTGCTAGCAGTTTGCGTCCGCCAGCGTATGCAGGTACCCGTTACCTGGTGCATGAACGGATAATGTTGCCTCAGGCCATCCTTTCGGCTATTATATACAACACCAAGCACTCGTCGCTGATTACCATGCCATTAGGTTCACGACCAAATATAAATTCACCAAACCCAATGACAAGAATGGCATCGATGTCATGAACGCCGCGGCTAAGGCTGTCATGCAAGAAATACCCGACCTTGTCATGGCATTCGGCAATAGCGATGAGTACAGGTGCGTCCTCCCCGCTTCATTGGCCTAAGCCGCGTTTGAGGGAGATTGAAGTTCCCGTAGGGCTCAAGCCCACCCGCTTCTTCTTTCTCTACACGGCCAACGTCCGCGTTTCAAAAAGCCCGCTCAGCTGACGTGGGCCGTAGTTTCGTCTTTCACAAGGACTGTACCTTATTTGAGCGACGAGCAAGGTATGCAAGCACTACCATTGGCCCAATCGCGTTTTGCCGCTACTTCCCATTCCATTGCTGACCCGTCTGTAGCAAGTTGACTACGACAATCGTCTCGACTTTCACTTCTTATTATGTCTATTCTTGGGCCAAATACTTCCCGCAAAAGCCACTCACGCCCCCACTACCCTCTTTTGACGGCCGCGCCGTCTGCTATCCAAGTGACACCAATCTCCGTGACTACATGAGCTGGCGCCAAGTTGATTGTAAGTAACACGCCACACCGTTGTTCCTACCATATGCAATTTGGCCCCTGTAATTTCTCAAAATTCATTGCAAATGTCCCGGTGGGTCTAATGGAATCCCAGGTCACATCAACAATCTATACAATACCACATTCTGGGCTCTTGTCCAGCAGGGCGGTATGGGTCCTCGTGAAGCAGAAGAAAGACTAAAAGGGACGGTATCATCCGATAAAAACGAGATCCTGTTCAAGGAGTTTGGAATCAACTACAACAACGAGCCAAACTGCTTCAGGAAGGGGACCGTGCTATACCGAGACGTAAGTCATGCTAACCTCCAGTCAATGTCTTGAACAATGGCGCCTGACATTAGCAGTTCTTTCCCCCGATATCGCCTGAAGAGTTGCCAACCCCCATGTTCTCGGAGTTTCCTACACCACCCCTCGCTCAACCAAAACCCAGGCGGGTATCGAAAGACGAACTGTCTAAATCTATCGAAAAGGCTGTAACTACTCTGCCAGAGTTGGATTCTTCTGTGGCATCGCCAGATTCCTGCTCGCGTCCAACATTTCTCTCAACTACATCGACTCCCTCACCCCCACCATCTCCGCCACACATGTCGAGGGCGGCATTTCCCAACCCGCTTCGCTCCAACCCTATCAGTACTCGAAGTAGTGCTAATGTCCCCGACTCTTCTTTCCCGCTTTCGCCGCCATCGACTGCCACCTGGGCTAGCAAACCACAGTCCAATGGCAAGCAACCACTGCCCTCGCTAACACCTCTACCTCTTTCTCCGCCAACGCTGAAACCAAGCACCAAGCCTCCGATGTCTCTGAACGCACCGAATCCAACCACACGCACAAACTTCTCACCGACGACACCGCAGCATGACTTTCCCGCCGATTTCCCGATAGCAGGATACCGCCACAAAACCTCCTTGTCAGTCAACCAGGGCATCTCACATTCTGCTTCGGCTTCTCTCACAACAGCAAAACTACCACAAGATCAGCATCCCGGACTTAAGCGACGCTCACCTAGTCAACCATCACTCCCAACCTACTTTGACACGGTTGCCAGAAGCCAGACAGGGCCGCCTTTCATACCTTTGCGTATGTCGAGCATCCCTGCCAACAACAAGCCGAGAAAATTGTCACTGCCTGTTCACCGATCATCTAGCACACTGAGAGCCACCAGGGGCACAGATGAGAAGGAGAGCGGGGCGAGTACTAACGAGGCAGTTTCCACACCGCTCCGGAGAGTCAGCCCGCCAATGCAAAAGAATAAGGCCCTACCAAGTCCACCGATGAGCGCAGAAGAGGAGACACGAACAAGAGAGAAGGTCATAGCCAGCAGCCCGAAGCATGACTGGAACAACTATTCCATGGCCTATAACACCACGGAGCAACCAATACGGCGAGCCAGCGACTCTGAGAGTCAAACCGGCCGAGTCTGGACCAGCGAGCAGGCTCCACACCCAGGCATCCCCGAACTCCACGCCATCTCAACCCAACTCCCACTCTCGGCCTCGAGCACCACAAAATCCCCCCTCACATCCGCATCCCTCCAATACCCCCACCCAACCCCAGACATGCACACCCTCATCTCCTGCACCACTGCCCCTGCCGCCGCCCCACAACCCCCAAAATCCCAACCCTACGCCACAACCCAGCCCTTCCCCAGCAGCAACACCACCATGCCCCTCCGCACCAACCTCCCTCCCGCCCTCTCCAAACCCAAAACAAAGGACTCCATCTCTCCTAAACAACCAAATGATTCTCAGAAACGCAGACATCCCGAGTCGAAGCGGAAGGAAGGCAAGAGTTCAGCCACTGGTGGTGATGAGGGTCGCCCGGTCAATATGAGTCGCTCCCAGCGCGATAAAGATCGCAAGAAGAGGAGTAAAGCGGCGATTCTTATGGAGCATGTGGATATTATCAAGGATGATTTTTGGGATAAGAGACCTTGGCTTTTGAGTGGGAAGACGGGGTGATGATTTTTATATCACGATTTATTTTTTTGGACTTTTTTCGGTTATTTGGGGGGGGGGGGGGTTCCTCTCTCTCTCCCCTCTTTTTGGGACTCTCTCGGTTTGTTTTTTTGACAAACCGGGGATGTGCTGGAAGTTCATATCCCCGGTTATACAGATTTTTCTACTCTTCTTTTTTTTTCTTCTGGAGGTCGGTGCGAAGGGGGGGGGAATTCGATCTGGATGGCAACCTGAGATATACGAGAATTCTTTCTCTTTGGCATGAAAGCATATATGTATTCACTGGTTATGAAACGAATTTGTTTTGTTTGCTTGTCCTTGATGATTGGAACGTCCTTTTTTTTTCTCCTATGTAACAATATATGTATGATTGGATATTCGCTTTGCTCGCTTTCTATGCTGGCTGATCTTGTCTAAGTGGATATAAATCTTTTGCCCGTATTTTTCATATGTCTTGTGTGTATGCACTTGCATGTGCGGATTCCGTTTTGCGCAGATTTATTACTGATTTCGTTGCGCCAATTGTCTTCCGCCTCCCTTCTTGATGTGCAGTCTTGACTCGGTGCGTTCGCGGCATAGGGCCGGCTGCTCATATGATGTTTTTTGAGTAGCGGGCTAGGCTGGGCCGGAAGCCTTCAAACTCCATCCCACCTGATGCGCGATGTGCTTCGTCACATCATGCGTACGTGAATAGAGACGTATTTTTTGAGAGTCTGTCTCTGGTGTCCGGGTTGATTGTTTCGCCTGCACGGCTACTGCTTTGCGCGCACCTTGTCACTTGTCTTCTGTTTCTTCTTGTCCGTTTTGTCTTCTTTCTTCGCCTTTGTCGTATCCTTTTCAGCTTTCTTCTGTATCCGACGAAGGACGTATTGCTCGAGTGTCTGGCCCTTTTCAGCAGCGCGAGTCTCATACTCTGCTTTCTCGGCGGGTTTTAGCTTTGCAAGCTTTTTGGCTACGACGTATTGACTATTGTCGCTTGATTTTGTCTTTGAAGCCTTTTCAGACGAATCTTTGGACTTCTTGCTCTTCCTGCTCTCGGATGCATCCTTCTCTTCCCGCTTGCGCTTATTCTTCTTATCTGATGTCTTTGAGGGCGCTTCGCTGTCAGAGGCAGAGGTCGGGGGCGTGCTGGTGCCGGATGAGGGATTCGAGGCTTCAGTAATAATTGTGGATGTGTCTTCAATGGTGCCCTCTATTTGTTCACCCTTGACAAAGAAACCGTACAGACCACCTCGGTTGATGCCCTTGGTGCGGATCTGGTCGAGTGTGCTCTGCGCAGAGAATTAGCTGGAGACCTTCGCTTTTGAATCGCCAAGACAGGCGATGTTCAGGCGCATACATCTTTGCCAGTTCCGATGCTTTGCAGGCTCTGGTCAAACGCTCGCATCCACCACTGGTCGTCTGTTGTATGCGCCGCCTTCTTCTTGCCAAGTCCTAATTGGTCATTCTTGTGCGCAATAAGAAGCGGCTTCTTGATACCGCGCCCGGTCGTGTCGAGAGAGTGGCCGGAGCCTTGCCAGCCCTGCTTGCGCAGGTATGCCTCGGCGTTCATTGCTGCTGAGGGTGAAAAGGAACACGGGAGAGTTCGCGCCAGGAAATTTTGGTGGGGAAATTCTGGGCGTTAGCGCGCAATGCAATGCGGACCCCCGAACCGCATCGTTTAGTACTTGTTTACTTTCCAGTCTTCATCACACGTGCTGGTTTTGGTATCAACGCCAATTTCATTATTCAAGGCTGCAAAATACATGCAATGGGTTTTTGACACTCCATATGCTGGAATCGTAAGCCACATGTCCCTATTTTTCAATCACCACTTGTTCTTCTATTCTACAGCCCTCTCCTCGTCACATATCAATGAATATTTCAATACCTACTGAAGCTAAACCATTCAAGAGCTGTGATACCCTACTGTTATATAGAGCTGGTTTCGTGACCAGTTGGCTATTATTTAGTAGCTCCGAGGATTTCTTCATTCCATTAGTTCTGCAATATCTAAGCAGTTGCGATGCTCAAGACGTATTCCTATACGCAAGCTTTTGACACGAACATATTAGATCAAATCATATCATCTTCGTGCATTTCATGCTCGTACTTTCACTAAATATCCCTTTTCCGTCATGCTGCCTAGCCCTTTCACCACTGTAGCGACGCTAAGCCAAAAGGAGCTCCTTCCTCCTTCATTACGTCGCGCCCAACACCATAAATTTGGAAAGCCTCTTTCTCCAAGCACATTCAATTTTCCTGTCACACTTTCTTGTACTTCTGTCTGCACAATCTACCACCTTGACAATTACTCCAATCCGTTGTTATCAGTCCAGAGCACACTGCCGTAATGAAGTGCGCACAAGGATTATGGCACTTCTCTGTGATAACCAATGCTGCTGTGATTCAACAGAGAGCTTTGCCTAACTATCCTGGCATTCAATTCTCTTCTAATAGAAAGCTATCGATCACAGTCTTCAGTGATCTTCACTTTGGCGAACGTAAGTCACTACATCTCCTTGCGTTTGTAACCAGCAGTTACTTAACATATTACAGCTTCATATGTGCGAAATCGCCCTTATGCAGATCTCAAGACCATGGGAGTTATGAACTCTGTATTGGACAATGAACGACCTGACTTTGTAGTACTCAATGGTGACCTTGTTTCTTGCGAATGGGTCGCACCTGCCGATGCCAACAAACTCATCGATCAAATTGTGGCACCTCTGGTTGACCGCAATCTACCTTTCGGCGCGACATTTGGTAACCATGATGCTTCGAAGACATGCAGCACACTCTCCATGTCAGAGCACATGTGGTGGGATGTCAAAGGCAAGAACGGTCGAAAGCTATCATTCACGACGCAGTCTGTAGTTGGTGAGGTCGACAAGGTAGGCTGGAGCAACTACTTTGTGCCTGTTTATAGTTCCACGAATGGTGGCGATCTCAAAATGTTGCTCTGGTTCTTCGATAGCAAGGGTGGTCGTAAGTATCAGCCGACTGGCGAAGACGTCGGGGTTCCAAGTTGGGTAGACGGAAAGGTAAGTCATCCCTACAACATACACGACGGCACTGACTTTGCAGGTTGTCGACTGGTTCCACAGGACCAACGCTGCTTTCCGCCAGCAATATGGTCGCGCAATTCCAAGCATGGCCTTTGTACACATCCCAGTATTCGCAACAAGGGCATTCCAGGAAAAAGACCACACGCGCACTGCCAACCCTGGCATCAACGAAGAGCACATCGGACATCAGGGCGATGTTTGTGATAGCCAGGGCAACAATTGCAAATACAATGGCGCTGATATACCTTTCATGAAGGCGCTTGTCGAGATTGAGGGACTCATGGCGGTATTTTCAGGCCACGACCATGGTGTCGACTGGTGCATGAAATGGTCCAAAAATCTTCCCAATACCACGCCAAGCAACGGGAATGGACTTAACATATGCTTCAATCGACACTCTGGTTACGGTGGATACTCAGATTGGACACGTGGAGCGCGCCAAATTGTTGTAGGTGAAGACATGTTAGGCAAGAACATTGTCGACACTTGGATCCGTTTGGAGAATGGAAAAATCTCAGGAAGAGTAACTCTCAACAACACTTTTGGAACCGATCAGTACTCGGCGGCGGACACGTCAAAGACTTCGGCTCCATAGTTCAAGCCCAGGCCTGCCATGGCGCGGCCCGAAGCGTGGGACCATCAGTAAGTCAAACTTCAACTTTGGATCTGCACCAGCATAGGTACTAAGTGTGATTTTCAGAGAAACTACAGTGAACTCCACCATGTTATGAAACGATTGTCAGGGAAGGACAGGACCTAACAAACAATAATCTTCTCGGGGCTTAGACTTCTATACTCAGGTTTTGTATGTTTTCCTGGAGGACGGGTGCTTGCCTGATATACGTGTTTACGATTAGGACTTGTACCTGCATAATCATAGGCAGCGCCTTAATATTAATGTTTAATTCTGTTTGCTGATATCCCTCGTTGCCTGTATGTGGGCTGTCAACGTACGCATTGGGCGCTGTGGTGTTGGCTAGAGTGAACAGGCAGGATAGACCGTTTCTAAAGTTATATTCCGGCATGGCCATCTTGAACACTAAGATTGACAGTTGTACGATCTTATAGTCTGTACATTGTTGACTGACACGCGCGTACATTTGTTGGTGGAGGCTATGCACGACCCCTTTCGAGGTAGCAGTGCGAGGCTAAAACGGAGTTATGACATCATACCCTAGTGACAAAACTACTCCTCTAGTTTCCCGACCACGCCCGCAACATCGGCCGACGGACCAAGCGCGTATCTAAAACTGTTAAGTTTGGGCAAGCATGGCGACAAGACTTGGACATTCTCTACTTTTAGCTGCTGTACCGCTTGTTACGCCCTGAGCCCTGAGCCCTGCTCCTCAGGCCCCCTGCTTTACCTTTCTTCCGTGTTTATTTACTCCAATGATACCCTAGGTCTTACCCGGAATCACCGCTTTACATTCACCATGTCTTTCCTCCAACGTCAAACAACGCGCATCACTGGTACTGAGAATGGCGAACGCCGGCACAGCTTCCTCAATATTTCATCGGAAGGCAAAGTACCCAATGCGAAGAAGCCTCGCTCCCGACCGCCCACATCGCTACGCGACCATCTCCCCTTTCCAAACTCGGCACTATGCCCCGCGTCAGGACCATACTCCATTGGCAGCATGGAGATTGAAGTCCCTGTCGAATCTCCTCGATCTATATCCAATATCAAGCGAAATGGCAGGCATCTTTTGCAGTTAGAAACCGTGCTATTCACACTGTACTATCCGGCTTCAATCGGAAATGGATCTGGTATTGCACCAGGAGGGGAGAAGAAATGGAGTCGGGAAACGTGGCTCCCAAGACCAAGAATAGAGACGGCCAAGGGATATTCGCGGTTCGCAGGGATACCAAGCGTTGTGGGTATTGGAGTGTCCGGTGCCACCACGATGCTCACAAAGTTGCGTGCATACCGGAATAGTCCCCCTGCCACACACTGGCCCCCTGAGGGGAATTCGAAGAAGAACGGATACAAGATCAAGAACCAACAAGGCCATCCGCCTGAAGGCATGAGTGGGGAGCCAACGTTCCCTCTGCTAATGTTCAGCCATGGTCTGGGTGGTTCGAGAACTGCATATAGTAGTCTGTGCTCTGAGTTTGCAAGCTACGGTTTTGTCGTATGTGCTGTGGAGCACCGCGATGGTAGTGGACCTCGCACTTTTGTGAATCACAAGAAGCGAGGAGAGGAAGGAAAAGATACACGTGACCAAAGTAGTCAAAGTGACCCTATAGGGGGTGGACATGAGGGAAACGAGAAAGATTCCGACGAGTTTCGCCACTTACATCATACGGAGGAAGAGATTGCGCAGGGCTATCACTACGTGGTTCGTACTCTTTTATCTCCTCTGGTGGCCGGGCAAAAGCAACGGCAACGGACTGACGATTCTAGGACTATATCTTCCCCAAAAATAACCCCAAAGATACTTCACCAAACAACGTAAACGGCGTTGACAGTGAGCTGCGTAGTGCTCAGATCGAAATGCGTCTTTGCGAACTTGAAGAAGCGTATCGTGTACTGAAGATTATCTGCGCTGGCGATGGCAATCAAATTGCAGAGCAGAATCTACGGGGAAAGGGTTATATAGGTGGCTCATCGAGAGGCCTGAACGGGGTTGATTGGTCTCAGTGGAAAAATCGGTTTTCTGTAGACAAGATGACCATGGCTGGTCATAGCTTTGGAGCGGCGACCGTGGTTGAAGTCCTCAGACATACAAATCGATTCACAAACGTGCAGGCAGGCATCATCTATGACATCTGGGGGCATGTTTCCTCCTATCCCATACTCAAAGAGTACTGCTAATATGGCCATAGTGCTCCTATCAAGCCACCGTCGGACGATCCTAAACATCGAATACACCTTCCACTGCTTGGTATTGCTAGTGAAGCATTCATGTACTGGGAGAAGAACTGGAACGCATCAATGTCCCTCATGAAAGAAGCCAGTGAACATGGAGCACCAGCATATTTGCTGACTGTCCGAGGCTCTGTACATATCAACCAAAGCGACTTCTCAATCTTGTACAGACACTTGACATCCTTTTTTATGAAGGCTACCGTCAATCCAGAAAGAGCTATTGACCTCAATGTGGGAACAAGTCTCGAATTCCTACGGCTCGTCACGCCTGACAGTGGCGGAGGAAAATCCATTATAAATCGTTGCATGACTGACGAGCATATACTTCAAACACCAATGATGAAGGAGACACCAAACGACAATCGGCCAGATGATGAATGGATAGCGGCCCGTTTGCGTGTGGACAATCCGTTCAAGAAACGCCTTGCTTCCGGGCTTCAGAGAAAGTTCAAGCGCAACGTCCGGGAAAGTGCTGGCGAAGGATACACGACTTCGGATGAGATGTGGTGTTTCTTCAAACCAACAGACGAAGGATTGCAGAAGTGGATCGATAACGAAGACAAAGGTGAAAAGCGCATCGATGAAGACCATGCCACTGTGTTCGATAGAGAACGACAGAATAGCGCCATGTCGATG